CTAAAGGAGGATATAAAAGACGAACTCTATAAGGAGGATTGCCTAGACAATTTAGATGAGTATATTATAAAGGCTGTCTGTATCGACGACCGGCTATACGCTAGAAGACAACAATGGAAAGGACAGTAGAAACTGGTCGTTAGGGGAAATTACGTTAACAAAGGGAAGAAACGACAGGGAAGTACGGCTTTCGGTACTCACCTAGGACCTATAGAGGTTGACGTAATCTAAACTCAATGGTGTAATAAGCAGCCTTGTAATAAGTCTAACGTCACCTGTTATAACTGTAGGAAGAAGGGCCACTATAAGCGTGAATATAGGGGCCTATATAGATAAGGCAAGACCCTAGGCCAATGGTTACCGGTACTGGGACGTGAAGCCGCTGTTATCGAGAAAGGAGTTAAGTTCAAGGAAGTTACAGCTAGCAGTTATAGATAGGACGACCTGGAGGATGCCTGTGACTATAGGGAATAGATAGAACCGGATGACGAGGAAAGACTCAGGTTCGAAGAAGAAGTGTTTGCTGATCTCAAAGGAAGATATCAGGATGAGTGGAGGCCTATTAACGACGACGACTATCACCTCTAAGCCAACGAACTTAGGCAAATAGCACCGTTCTTCGAAGGGACTGATACATCTATATACGGTAGATAGACACTCACATAGGATACTAACGGGGAGTAGAACACTACTTGTAAAGGAGAGGAACCGGGATTTAATATCTATTACCTCAAGAAGAAGATATTTAAGTCTCGGGATAGGATTAACAACCTACGGAAAGTACTTAGTGGACTAAAAGGGGAAGTTTTCGGCCTACGAATAAGGATCTAGGAAGGAGTCTATAAGCAACAACAACTATAGGAAATGAACGGAAACTAACAGGAAGAATTGGAATAGAGCCGATATAAAATCAAGAGACTCCAGAAGATCAACAAGCGACTCACGGGACAGGAACAACCTGCGCTATAGGTAGTCAAGTGGTTGAAGGAGCACCGGACAATCGACGCTGTGAGCTGAGGAGAGGACAGGAACGCCCTGTAGTACCAAAGGGATTTGGGAAAAGACTTAGGGCTCTCCGAGGAGCCTGTAAACCATTAAGCTCAGAAGTAAAACGGCAGTTCGCGCAGTACAGGCAGAACTGGCGTAAACGACGACCTTATAACGACCTCCCAGCTAGCCTAGTAGAGGTAGCTGTAGTTCAGGACCGAAGCCAAGACGACAGGCTCTAGGTCATCGCCAAGTGGAAATGTTTATAAACCTTGACACTAGTAGATAGTAGCTTGTAAGCAGACCTCATCAGCCCTACCCTAGTCAACAAATGTAGGATCCCCTAGAGGATAAAGAAGGCACCTCACCCAATACAAGGACCGTTCCCAACCCAGATAGTCAGGAGGGAAACCGAACCCCTGGACATAGAGGTGGAAGGGAAAACTACAAAGGTGGTATTTGACATCATAGACATAGGAACCACCAAGGACATGATCTTAGGGTTACCCTAGTATAAGAAGTACGACCCAGACATCAGTTAGAAGGGTGGTGGCCACCTACAACCGCGTAAAGCATAGAAGTACCCGACCAACATAATGGAAAGCGTAGAACAGGAGCCACAATAGGGCGAAGTATAAGGAAATACAACCCCTATAGGCCTACTACAAGAAATAGTCAGCAAGGAACAACAAGCTCTAGATTCTAGAAAATACAGCTTATAACAATAGAAGAAGGTACAGATAGACCAGGAAGTCGCCGTCGTCTCAGTTAATACAGAAGGAAAGATCACGATCGAGCAATGGGTCAGCCTAGTTAAGGCAGCAAGCATTAAGTATAGAGGAGAAAAGATCGATATACTCAAGGTTATAAGCGTCGAAGCAGGGAACAATAAGTTTACTTACTACAGGGGGACTATAAAGACTACCATAACTGGTAAAATTCCCTAAGAGTATAAAGGGTATCTGGCATTTCAAGCCAAGCATCTTAAGGGACTTCTAGAATATGGACCCTAGGACTATAAGATCAAATTAAAGGAAGGAGCATAGCTTAAGTTCTTCAAGGTTTACTACACTAACGAGAAACAAGACGCCGAGTTAAGGAAGTATTTAGACGACAACTTAAAGATCGGGCATATCTGGCCATCAACTTCACCCGCTAGATATCTAGTATTATTCGTCCTAAAGAAGGATAGGAAACTCAGGATATATATAGACTACCGATAGCTAAATAGCAAGACTATCAAGAATAGATATCCCCTACCACTGATTTCAAGACTTTGAGATCAGTTAGCCGGAGCTCGATACTTTACCCGTCTCGACCTTCTAACAGTATATACCTATATCTATATTAAGGAGGGGGATAAATGGAAAACGGCTTTCAAGACACCTTATAGATACTTCAAATACCTGGTAATACCCTTTAGCCTTACCAATATACCTATAACGTTCTAAGCAACAATCGATCATATTATTTAACCCTATCTCGATAAGTTTATAGTATACTACTTAAACGATATTCTCATCTACTCTAAGACATTCGAGGAACACCGACGATATATACAACAGGTGCTTGACGTACTATATAAAAGTCAACTGTCGGTTAATAAAGAAAAGAGCGAATTTCACGTCTAAAAGACGGTTTTCTTAGGCTATAAAATCTCACCCGGTAAAGTCAAAATCGAACCTTAGAAAATCCAAGCAATTGTAGAATAGCCAACGCCTACTAACGCTATAGAGGTTCAAGGGTTTATTAGGTTTACAAATTTCGTCCAGATATTTATCCAGAACTTCAGCGATATCGTACAACCACTACACAAACTCACCAAGAAGGGAGCTGAGTTCAAGTAGGGAGATACCTAGGAACAGGCGTTTAGGAAGATTCAACGGAGTATCCTAGCGGATCTAGTACTCTTACTGCCAGACCCTAATCTACCTTTTAAGGTAGAAGCTAATATGTCGAACTTCACGATCGGGGGATAACTTAGATAGAGGGATAAGAACGGGAAGTTATACCTAGTGGCTTTCTTCTTAAAGAAGCTAGACAGGCCTTATCTTAACTACCCTATCTACAACAAGGAACTGCTCACTATCATCGAGGCATTTTAAGAATAAAGACTGTACTTTAGTGGGACGACCTACCTAGTATAGGTCTATACCGACTATAAAAACCTTAAGTACTTTACAACGACTAAAGTCTTGAACGGACAATAGACTAGATAGGCAGAATTCTTATCGGAGTTTAACTTTATAATCAACTATAAGAAAGGTATGGAAAACGTACAAGCAGATACCTTAAGTAGAAGAACTGATCACTAAGATAGCAATATACCAGAAGACTTACTAGTGCTACTATAACAACAGACAGACAGTATACTCTATCATACCTCGTAACCGATTAAAGACTATAAGATCGTAGCTATATAACGACAGATAGAGGAGGAAACGCCCCTATAATAGTTTATAGAGTATTATATAATCTTCAGGGAAGAAAGAGGAGGACGGGAATTTCAGGGAACCATTACCAACGGGGAATAGGCTGACTAGGAAACAGACCTAGAGGCAGGTACCCCTGGCCTATAACTGGATAGAACGAGGCTCTAGTACTACGACAAGGCCTATATCAGGACCCGAGACCAGAAGGACCTTATGCTCGAAGTATACCAGTTGAGACTTAGAGGATATATAGGGATTAGGAAAACAGCCACTAAGATCAAACAATACTATAATTTCCCATACCTCAAGGAAAAAGTCAAGGAGGTTATTAACAAGTATAACCTCTATAGACGAAGTAAACCAGGATGATATAAACCCTATAGGTTGTTATAGCTATTGCCTGTCGCCGAACGACCATGGAGTTCAGTAACCATGGACTTCATCACCAAATTACCGGAATCCAAGGACCCTGCGACATAGGTAGAGTATAACAGCATCCTCACTGTAGTGGACAGGCTTACCAAGTAGACCTACTTCTTACCATATAAGGAGACTTAGACAGCAGAACAACTTATAGATATACTCTACCGGCACGTTATATCAATCTATATATGGCTGAAAGAATAGATCATAGACCGGGATACCAAATTTACATTAAAATTCTGGTAAGCACTTATAACGAGACTCGGGATGAAAAGCAAGTTGTCGATAGTATATCATATATAAATAGACAGCCAGATAGAACGACTCAACCAGATTGTTAAATAGTACCTATAACTTTACATCAACTTTCAATAGGACAACTAGGTTAAGTTATTACCTGTTATATAACTGGCCTATAATATAATAGAAACTAAGATAATAAGAGTTATACTATACTTTATAAACTTTGGGTATAAACCTAACCTAAGATAGGGACCTGATGTTAAGGTACCCTAGGCCACTATTAAAGCGGATAAAATGAGCTTATTATATATAATGCTTAAGGAAGAACTTGAGTTTGTAAGGAAAAGGATAAAAAGGTTCTATAACTAAAAAAGGCTCGAGGGACCTTATCTAGAGAGGGGAGACAAAGTCTACTTTAGCTTACGAAATCTTAAAACCAAACGACCTAGTAAGAAACTCGATTTCAGGAAGATTAGGCTATTTAAGATCGATAAAAAGATTTTGGAAAATAACTATACCCTTATACTTCTATCAACTATAAAGCTAAGAATGAACGTTTTTTATATAGCACTACTAGAACCGGTACCCAAGAACTTACAACTGGATAAAGATACTAAAGTAGAGGATGAGGAAGAAGAATAGGATATAGAGGAAATTTTCGACTCAAGAATTATAAAAGGGCAACTGGAATATTTGGTCAAATGGCTAGACTTTGGCCCTAAAGATAACTTATAGCAACTAGTGGGAAATTTGGTCAACTACCTAGAGAAGTTATAGGATTTCCACTACCAGAACCCTGATTGCCCTATATACCTAGAAAAGACTAGTCGAAGCCGTCGTTAAAAGGTATAGAGGAACTAGGAACGAGGAACGATAGTCAGTAAAAAAAAAAAAAGGAAAAGAATAAAAAGAAAAAGGTTATAGTAGGGGTCGAACCTACGACCTAGTACAATAGCAGCCCTAAACCCCCTCTTAGAGGTATTTAAGATGGCTAACGCTAAATATATATGCTACTACTATACTATATAACCATTTCATTTATTAAAAGACGATAAAACACTTACTTAAGAAAGGAGGGGTTAAGGACGGTTAGGGAGGAAGGAGCGGCTAAGGTAGGAGGACTGGCAGTGGGTTCTAATACAGCTAACGCTTCTACCTCCTCCCGTTCTATACGCTCCAACTCCTCTATTGAGTTAATACCCCTTAATATAGCTCGTATTATCTTCTTAAACTATACTTACTTTTACTTTTGTAAACGAAGGACCTGCTCCTCTACAACTATAAGTTCATCCTCTAGCTTTTGGTATTAAGCTATGATAGTACAGAGCTATAAAGGGGAAATACTAAGAACGTCGTAGTTTAGAAGTTTAAGGTAGATATACTCGGCGTACCGAGAGGAGTCGGCAACAGAAACCTTGCAGGAACCGAGGCTATACGATAAATAGGAGGAACAAGGCTATATAACGGACAAACTGTCGGATAATAGTATTACAGCTAGGAGATGGTTAGCTTAGAGGGTCGAGGAGGTAGACTTTCACTTAGATACCCGACCTACTATTTTAGACGAAGAATATATATGATGTAGGAGGGAAAAATAGAATATATACTAATAAAGAACCTATAGCCTTTTAGGACGAAAGCCTTAGAGGAGGGGCATTGTGTCACAGACTGATGGCCAATACATTAACTGGGCATATAGACCAGTCAGCAGTAACCAATCAGGAACCAGTATAGGAGTGATCGATGGATCGATAGAACGATCGTAGGATCATTCAAAACGCCAAGAATAGGTGATCGATGGATCGTGGAGCGATCACCACGATCAAGGTACAAAGGTACTTAGGACACTCTCTCTCCTAGATAGTATATAGTCACTCGTTCTAGAGGACTTTGGGAGTTCTCCAGTAAGCAATACAACTTGTTCGTTACCAGTTGCTACGGACATTAAGACCGGATCATTATCTTGTTGTGAACCTTTTGGCTTCACCGAATCCCAACCCTAGTACCCTACCTTCAGTGAACCCTTGCAGAGTGTGGTTGAGACGATTCGTCACAACCTATCATGAACCCAGTCTCGTCGAAGTTATAGATATCGTCCTCTATAATACCATACTTGGCCTTGACGTTCTGTATAAGGGCAAACCACTCGCCAACGACCTTCGGGTCTTCGCACTTTGCCCTCTGGTAGTTGTATCTACGCGTATAACGCATTCGGAGCTCTGGTTGGCGTTTGACGAAGTTGGAGGCCCAGAGCTTGCCAACGGGGGGCGTATCGCGTATCTGTAGTAGTTGGTTGGCCATATCTTCCACACCAGCAAGCCTTGGTGGAAATGCTCGCTCAGATAGCTCAATTATATGTTGAACAATAGCCTTCTCTTCGGAATCGGTGAGCCGGCGCGAGTTGGGCGTAGTATCGCGTCGTGCAAGTCGGCCAGCGCGTCGTCGGGTTAAGGTCATACGGGGGACGTTGTAGATCTTCGCTGCCTTTCGTAGGCTTAGATTTTCGTCATTTTTAAGAGCCTCGAGGGCTAACAATACGCTGGCTTCATTTGAAGTACCAGGCATTTTAGGTTGTAGAGAAAATTGATGTTAAGTATGGAAGTGGCGCGTCGCGTGGAAAAGTGGCCCACTCGCTTATATGGCCCACTCGCTTATATGGCCCACTCGCTTATAATGCACGTTAACTACTTTTTTGATCAATTCTTTTCCGTCTTCTTTCACTTTTGTCGTAGAGTAATGAAGTGAATATCCAGGGATTCGGTCTGTTGCTTCTCTTTTAACTAGGTATTTACAGGCTGTAAGTGTAATTCTGAGCATTTTCAACCAACTCCAGTTTTGTCAGTCATTTGACAGGCTCGATTCAAACATTCTGGATTTTCGGCGTCGTTTTCGACTTCATCCGCGTCTACCAGACTTAATTACTTCGGTAGACTCGAAAAAAGATGAGGATCTCTAATAAACAATCCACTTTACAATGTATATTAGACCTAGCTCAGCGCGTCTTCACATGCTAATTATAGGCATCTAGGGTGTCCGCCTCGCGGCCACCCCCCCCCCCCCCCCCGGACGTTAAACGCAAACAACAACAACAACAACAACAACTCCCCTACTCGGCTGCCTCCATCGAGATGCTTTCAGCCGCATGCACGCACATCGTGAACGACGTTTCTTGCTCCAAGCCGTCATGTCCGACATTCCTCCACTCCAGCGTCTGCGGGAAAGGCGTTTTGTCTGAGTCAAAGGAGTAGCGGCATCTCGTGGCCTCGAGCGGTGTTAAAAATGCCCCAGGCGGTGGCGTAGGTTGAGCCGAGGGCGATGATCGTGGTGACCAGCCAGAGGTAGAGGGCGTTGCGGATGGCGGACTCGATGTGGGTGAGGGAACCCGGGCGGAGAAGGACGAGGAGGGCGCGGAGGCTTGGGTCCCAAGCTACTTGGCAGAGAACCACCAAGACACATCGAAACGCTCCCTACGACGGATTGCAGCTCCATCGTGAAATCCTCTTCAGCGGTCCTCGCACGGACAAAGAGCACGTCAATCCAGGTCCACTCGCCGTCCAGTTTCAACTCAGCCTCAACAACCTCGTCCGTCACAGCAGTCCAACAACCAAGCTGTTTCTCCGCATTCCAACATAGGTACGTACACGCCACTCCTTGTATTTCGCTTCGGCCCACGCAACGCAAAAGACTAAGGTAGGTCGAGATAAGTCGCTGAGTTAGGTGTCCTTCACACGTCTTGGAAGTCACAAAGGTGAGGTAAGGTAGGTACCTAAATCATCCGGATAATTATATCCTCCATCCCTGTCCGGAAGGAGGTGAGCAGTGAGCAGAATGAGATGATTTGTGAGTCCTGGTCCCTCATATTATTCAGTTGAAGCCATCAGACGCTATGGTAATCGCTCCAATTATCCTCTCGTCACTGTCGACACGTCCGTCTTTCCCCCCACCCACACAAACACCACCGTCCCGTAGACCAGGAGGTTCCCTGCACTTGGGCACGGTCAGAATACAGAGCCACCACACCGACTAACAGTTAACACTACCAGGACCCAGCCACCCAGCTAACCTTAGATCTCGTTCGAAACTTCCTCGGCTCTAATAAGAAGAGGAATGATGGCCCCTTCACTGACTCGAAAGTGCGGGGCTTTAACGACTTCAAGAATTGCCGAGATGGCGTACGAATGTGTGGTCAGCGAGACGAACGTGGCGTCGTCATTGGCGAAGATGTCCTCGAGGAGTCGCCGTTTTCTAGTCACGTGTTCCTCGTTCGTTTCGGACCGATCAGCCTGCCATAAGGGATCTTCCATTTCGAAGTCTTGGTCGAGCACGCATGTCGGATAGTTCTCTGAAATCCACTGTCGAGTGCTCCGCTTGTCGCAGGTGTGGTCCGTAAGCCGCTCCCTGAGCAGCTCTTTGACTAGTGGCTGAAAGATTCTCTCGTGCTTGGCCACAACGGGTGCGTAGACGAGCCGGGTCGTCTCGAGACAGCGAGCCAGGGGGCTGGTGTACAAAGTCCTTGGCAGAGGCACACCCACGGTGTCGGCCCACTCAACCCAGAGCTGTCCGAGATGCCGGGCTAAGCTAATGCCGTCCTCTGTGAGCTTTGCGTCAACCCAGGAGACTTCGCCGTCTGTTTCGAGATGAGACCAATGGCCCTACGGAGACGGTTAGAGACACAAAGTCCGCAAGAGCTCCAATAGTCAGAGGCAGTATGCCAGTATCCGCGCGGCGCGGCACGTACATTCCAGGCATCTCTTCCGACTTTTGCCATGACAACATTGTGCACACTCAGTCCATGTCGCAGGAGGTACAGCAACTTGTAGGAAACGCCGGGAGGACTGTTCTTGTTTAGCCACTCCACATGCGCGCTGAATCTGGTCCAGGGGGCATCGCCAGCCGCATTCTCGTTCGGCGCGGAGTCGTAGGGTCTCTCCAACAAGCCGAGGTTGGGTTGGGTGGTGAGCTTGGAGCCCGGACACGCCCTGGCCGCCTCGGGTCCGTCCACAAAGTAGCCTGGGACATGAAAAAAGCGGTATCGGGACATCGTGGGGATTGTTGGGTTCACATCCAAACGAAGTGCGTGAGCTCTATTTAGATAGATTTGCTGCGGTTTCGGCCCTCGGGGGCGGCCTCACGCGGCTCTCGTCGTCCAATAGGAACAGGGCGCAGCTCGGTCGGGAGCCTAACTGCAGGTGACCGGTTGCTATCCAAGACCACGAGAGCCTCGCCCCCGGTAACTCTTTTTGCGTGCTAGTACCGAAGTGGCTGTGTGTCTCGCCCCCTCCCTACCCTCTAGCGGACGAAATGGCGACACGTGGGAGACCGACGCTCTATGAGAGCGATGAGTTGCGGCTTGGCTCTGGACAAATCCGGCTGCTCACCATCTCGCAAAGTCCGTCTCCGAGCAACGATGTCCCGCTTGAATGCAGTCTCAGCGTCGTGGACCTGGACCCTGTCGCAGACTACTACGCGCTGTCATACACATGGGGTGCCCCAGCCGAATATGGGCCCCTGAGCCGACTGAGTGAAAGCCCGGACTGTCCCATCCTCTGCAACGGCAGGCTGCTCCATGTCACGGCAAACCTCCGCTGCTTTCTGCTTCGGGCTAGGCAGATGCCCGGTCTCGCGGCCAAGCGGTTCTGGATCGATGCCATTTGTGTCAACCAGCAAGACAAGAGCGAGCGAAGCGCCCAGGTGATGCTCATGGCAAACATCTACAGCACGGCTGCCGTGGTCATCTCGTGGCTGGGCGAGCAGGACCATCACACCGAGCCGGGCTTTGCGTTGCTCATGAAACTTAGAGCGACCTCGGGCCACTCATCGCAGCTGCTTGACGCTCTATCCAGGCTATCGCCTGACTCCCACGACTTTGGCGATGACGAGCAGATGGCAGCCTTCTCTTGCCGACAGTCGTGGGTGTCCGTTGCCCATGTCTTTCAACGAAGATACTTCACCCGGGCCTGGATCATCCAGGAAGTTGTCCTGGCGAAGACTGTCAATGTTCTCTGCGGCGGCCACGAGCTCGATTGGTCCGTCATCGCCGAAGCATCCCACTTTTTCTCGACTTCTGCGTGGGCGCAGCACCTTACCGACCTCTTCATGGAATCTGCCGGACTGCCGCCACCACACCCGGGGCCACAAGCCTGCGAAAACCTTGAGTTTTGCTACCAGTCCGCCACCATACTCCGAGCGACAGCCAAGGAAAGGAAACAGCGTAAACAGCAAGGATATCGAGCCGAGAACCGCGGCGCCTGGGCTAAAAGCCTCGTTTACACACTCATCCGGGCGCGCGGGTTCAAGTCCACGGATCCGCGCGACAAGGTCTACGCGGTGCTTGGCCTCGTCCACGAATACGCGCAGGATAAACCCGGATTGATCCCCGAGTACGACGTGCCAACCCCCGCGGCCGCATTTACCCGAGCCGCCATCCAGATTCTCGAGGACGGCGGCGGTGACCTCCTCCTTCTGTCATGCGTAGAGGGCGAAAAGTTCCAGAAAGCAGCCACAGGCCGTCTCCCCTCGTGGGTGCCTGACTGGTCCTCCGAGGAGCTCACGGGTCTACGCGTGACTGGCTACGAACGATACTCAGCCTCGGGCGAACTCAAGCAACACCCAGTTGTCGATAGGGAAGGGGAAACCCTCAGCTTGCACGGAATCGAACTGGACCATGTCACCATGGTGGGCGAGACCAAGCAGTCCGTCTTGCGCGGCGAGCCGTTCCCCCAGTGGCTGAAAATCGTCGACTCTCTCAAGACGACCTACCGCCACCAGAAGGGCGCCGAACAACACAAGGTGGACGTCTTCTGGCGGACCCTGATCAGCAATACAGCGGGGTCCCCACCTCAGGTCGTCCAGGACGGCCATTCCCTGGGCGCGTCTTTTGCCCGGTGGTTTTTCGAAACCACAGGTCCTGTCGTTGGTGGTTCCCAGGACGGTCAAGACTACGGTGACGCATGGCATGCCTTGGCCGATCGCTTTGGGAAGTTGCTGGATGAGAGATGGGATGCGCAGAGTCGCCGCGTGGCGAGCACGAGCGAGTTTCTGACGCCCTTCTCCAAGGGTCAGCATCTGAGGCTGTTTAGAACGGCTGGCGGCTATCTCGGATTTGGGACTGAGTGTGTCCAAGTCGGCGACTTGGTCTACATTGTGCCTGGCTCTCGCGTGCCGCTGTTGTTGAGGAGGGCGAAACTTGACCGCACCGAAGACCAATCCAGAAAGAGTCGGCATCGGCTGGTTGGCGGGGCGTATCTCCATGGTGTCATGGACGGCGAATGTGTCTCCCCGACGGCCACCGGGAAGTTTGTGGAAGGAATCCGAGGCTTGATGAAGACCTTTACGCTTGAATAGGACGCCAGGCTGGAGAGGAACCTCTTTAGGGGGTATTGCCGAAACGACGAGATGTTGATAGTTTTGGTTACGTCTGACGAAATTGCGGCTTGATGAAGCAGAAGCTGAGCAGCCGAGGACGGAGGAGTCGCCGTCGAGTGATTTGAAAGGGGTGTGTGATAGGTGTCGACGATGTACTGACTCTCTGATAAATACTTGATGAGTATAACCATTAATTAGGTACCTACGCTTTGGAGGGGAGAGAACTTAGAGAAGGACACGCGAGCTGCTGTAGTTGCCATTCAATAAGAGGCTGACTTACCATTAACTATCAGTAGATTTAAAACAAATCTACGGAATACAAATTGGATCTTGAGTAGACTAACGAGATAATACCAAGGGCTGCAACCGACGAAGGCCGTTCAATATCTGAAACAACTTACTCATTTTTCCAGAATCTAACCGACAGCACTCCTAAGTAACGGCATCGCATGGTGATTATCATTGCCTTTCAAGGACCAGAGAGCAAACACAAAAGTTCCGGAAGCCACGAGCTTAATCTATGATACCTAATGACAACCGATAACAACCTTCACCCCAACTTCCTGGTTACCTAGTAATCGTCGGACCACTCTTTCCTGTGACCTGGATCAAGTGTATAATAGACTCCTTCCAAGCCAGTCGCGCGGTAAGAAGAAGTTTCGACGGATGGTCGGCGACACAGGGTCGTCATAGGTTAGTATGCTTGTGCAGAGCCTGAAGAAGCCGGGTGGTTAGCAGTCATTGAAGCGACCACAGAGGTAAGATGAGATGACTTGGTGTTGGTACGAAATGGTTGTTGTGCGGGAACCGAAGCACTGAAGGCCCAGGTCCCCAGGCCTGAGATGGGGGATGCCTTTGACGTCAATGATGCTGTGATCAGGGGTAAAACTCCGTGTTTCCGTATTGTACAGTCCGGCAGTCTGTACTGTGCCCATCCAAGCCAAGCTCTGATTGATTGTTTAGCATTGGTATCAACATCATCAGCGTTTTCCCTAATTATCCGGGCACCAAAATCTTGAGCTCCAACAACTACGGTTGTCTCCTGGGAACACACGGGGAAGGTCATTGTAGAACTCCCCGACGGGACTATAAATACCTCTTCTCTAAAAATATGAGTCTTTATTCGCTCTTATCCTCAAGTCTCTAACGTGAGTCTGATCAACTCTTTATTTGACTTACATGAATTCAACACACTAACTAAACCCACCAGACAGAAGACGTCGGGGATATCGGACTCGATATGATACACGGCGAGTACCAGTCCCTCAAAGCCCCGAACGCCGTCCCCCCCGCAATGCCCCCTAAGCCCACGGCTGGGACAAATACGACGGTTCCGACATCTACTTCATGCTCTCTGACTTCCGCAAAGTCGAGCAACCCCCGAGCCTAGTCAAATTCACCAAACGCCTCGCCGAGATGCACAAGAAATCACAGTCCCCCACAGGTAAATTCGGCTTCCACACCACGACCTACCGCGCCAAGCTGCGCCAGATCACCGATTGCTGGGAGGACTCTTGGGCGGTGCTCTACCGAAAACAGCTGGCGCACATGGTCGACCTGGACGAGGCGGTGCACGGCGCGTGGCCCGAGTTTGCGATCGTCTGCCGGCTAGTCCTGGACCGGGTCATCCTCCGGCTGTTGGAGCCGCTGCAGGTTGGCGGGCGGGTTCTTAAGCCGTGTCTGGTGCATGGCAATTTGTGGGATGAGAACACCGCGACGGACATGGCGACGGGGGAGCCGTTTATCTTTGATGGCGGGTCGTTTTATGCGCATAATGAGTATGAGATTGGGAACTGGAGGGCGGCGAGGCATAGGTTGAGTACCGCGCCGTATGTCAAGAGTTATTCGCAGGAGTTTCATGCCTCCGAGCCCAGTCAGTCTATCCCACGCATTCATTCATTCATTCATTCATCGCGAACCCACCAACCCACTAAACCAGTGCATAATGTTGTCACCTCATTTTTGAATCTAACCAACCACCGGCCGAAAATCACAGAAGCAGAATGGGACGACCGTAACATGCTATACTCTCTCCGTTTCGATCTCGGAACCGTCTTGATTCCCTGCAATCAACGTCAGATGTAAGCCCCCTCAACACCCTCTACCATTCATTGCCCCTTCATCAATCCATCAATATACCCCATTTCCTCCCATTTTCTTTCTTCTTTTCTTCCTTCACGCCCTTCAGCCCCGCAACCTAACACCCCCCACCCCTCCAGCGCCAAACAAAACATGACAACCCTCTACAAGAAATTCTTCCCCAACGAATTCGCCACCCTGACCCTCCAAAACAACCTCCTCAGCTTCACCTTTTCCCTCCAACAACAACGACAACAATCCGCCGCTCGCTACCCCCGCCCCGTCGCCAGGTATCCCAAACGTCCTGGTCAACTGGCAGTTGGCCGGCAAGAAGAAGACAACAAAGGCCAGCAAGTAGGGGAAGAAGAGGAAGAAGAGGAAGAAGAGGAAGAAGAGGAAGAAGAGGAAGAAGAGGAAGACGAAAACGAAGAGGAGCCATATTATACCCTCAGGTAGGGCCCGTACCATCGGCTGGATGGTGATAGTGATAGCGGTGATGATGATGTATTGGACGATAGCGAGACGCCTGTTGATGATAAGAGGCGGGGGTTGAGAACTTGAGGATTGGGGGTAAGATGGGTGTAAGTGTGAGGATAGTGGTGCTTTAAGTGCTAGTAGGTATGATTAACTTGTAAGTCATGTTTCTTTATGCTCTATATGGTTAATTAGGTTGCGAGTGATACGTTCCAGAAAGTACAGGAAGAGATTTGTGTTGATTTAGAGAAGCCGATTGCCTATCGTATGATTATCTCGTCACTTATATAGCGCTTCATGAAAGCAATGCCTCGTACAGGCTAGCTCGATTACCTTTTACGAATTGCGTGCTGGGGTGGGAACTTGACATCAAGAAACTAGTGGCTGATCGTGCTCGTTGAAAAGCCGAGCAATTCAAAACCAATGGCCCAGGGCATATCTAGCTCTTTATAGCCAGTTGGCTCATTGAGGCTACGGACCCATATCGAGATTTGGGCCCAAGTACGGAGGTCTACCCAAATCCGTCTAACCAAAAATGTTTGCAGCTCGCATAGGTAAGCTTTCTAACCAAAAACATAGCAACAGGAACCTCAAAATCACGCGATCTCACGCCGTCAAGATCAGACCAAAAGCAGGTGGATGTTTGTCATGGGATCTATGTCCAATATCAATCATAGGCTTATTCCCACCTAAGTCTTCCTCAAGACGTCAACCTCCCTATCCCATCCCGTTCACCCCGTCCCCGCCGCCGTGACACCCCCCTCACTCCCCTTCTTCCCCCCTCCACCCTCCCTCGCTGACTCCTTGCCTTCTTTCCCATCCTTCCCATCCTTGCCCTCCTTATCACCCCCTCCTCTACCCCTCCCTCGTCTCCTAGCACTACGCTTACTCGGCTCTCCACCAGCAGCAGCTTTCTCCGCCAATGGTTCGGCCGCCTGCTGGACCTTAGCCGGTGCAGAACCGGCCGCAGAAGCCGATGCAGGTGCAGCCTCAACAGCGGATGCTTTCTTCGACTTTTCCTGCGGCTGCTGCTGTTGCTGTTGTGGCCCGGCCCCTGTCGCCGAAGACGTCTTCTTACCCATGTCTTTCCGCTCAAGTACCTGGACTGTTGCCTGCGCAACAGCTATGGGACTGGCAGCCATGGCTTGGACAAGACCGGCGTGCTCCGCAAAATCGACATACGCAAATCCCTTCTTACGGTCAATTTCGACGTTGGTTACAGCCCCGTATGTCCGGAGGGCTTCGCGGAGAAGCGGCTCGGTGACGCCTTGGGAGTGGTTGGCGTGCTTGATGAACGCTCGGGTTGCGCCTGAGCTGGGGCTAGCTGGGGCCGGCGCCTTTTTAGAGCATCCAACCTGTTTTTGGGAGGCAGGTTTGGTTGCTGGGGGAGCGGCTGCGCTGGCGGAAGCCGCTGTTTTAGATGCTCCAACTTGAGAGGGTGTTGATGGGGAGTCGGTCGGTGTCTTTTGCTGAGTATCCTTCTTCAACACCGTGATGGGTGCCTTCGCGGGTGTTTGGGCCGGGGCTTCCACGGCGCTCCCGTTGGGCCCCGCTTCTGCCTTGCCCGCATCCCCGCCAGCGCCGCGCTTCCTATTTCGAGATCTACTCGATGTGGCCGGCTGTGTCTTTGCTGGAGGATTTTCTGCTATTGGTTCGGCCACGTTAGCGGGTTCAGATGCCGTGGGGGTTTGTTGGTTGGTGATCTCCTTAGGAGCAGCAGCCGCCTTGGCCTCCAAGTCCGCCTTTGCCGCTTCCTGTCGCGCTTTCCGATGCGCATTTCCCGGACTAAGACCTAGATCACGTTGAAGTATCCGTGCCGCCGCTGCAATACCCGCCCGACGGCTCTTAGGCAGAGGTTCCCGGTTCTCAGCCGGTGAAGTAGACGACGCGCTGGGCGTGGCCTGGGCGGCAGCAGCTTTCGTAGCTTTTGCAGCCTCCGCGGCCGCTTCTGCGGCCGCAGCGGCCTTCTTTGTAAGGATCTTAACAGACTCTCGCGGCCGCTCAGGTGCCTTCTCCGACGCTTTCTCCTTCTCAGCTCTACTCTCTCGGGAGCGTTTCTTCGGCTCCTCCGGCAGCGCAACAGCATTTTTTCCCTTCGTCCCTTGCGAGTCCTGGCGCCCGTGTTTCGCATTCTTAGCCGCCACCGCTTCTTTCACCCTCGCCGCTTTCTTCTCCTTGAGATACTCGACGAGCGGTGTGGTCGTGGTCTTATCCCCCTTCCCGGTATCCTCAAGACCCTGTTCACCCTCTGCCGCCTCCTTGTGCGCCTCCGGGTTGGCCAATGCCTCGAGAAACGCCATAAATTCCGGATCTTGGTCAATCGTCCCCTGTCGCCCATCCACGCGCTTCTTCTCTCCCGGGATCTTCTTGTAGGCCGCAAACTCGACGGTGGGCGAAGACACTAACGCAGGATCGTTGTATGACTCCTTGGCGTCCTCCCATGTTGCCGATTGCACTGTTTGGAGCAGGTTGGTCAACTCGTCTCGTCGGGTGACGTGAAGGTAAGCGCGCGACGGCTGTGATGGTTTCGAGGGACTAAGAGGGTTGAATCAATGTTAGCGCATTTCCCAAACCCGATTCACAGAGCAAATGTCGACGCACTGTTGCGACACCTTCCCAGGCCAGTACGAGAACCAATCGACTTTGCCGCGACCGACCCTCCATTCATCGCCGAGGATTGCGACAAACTCGTCCTCCGTCATCGCCGGCGGCAAGCGCCTGACCACGGCTTTTTCTCCCTGCGCTGGCGCCTTCACCCGGGCGGCCTTCGGGGTGTCATGCGATGGCTGGCCGCTTGCTTCTCCATTCGTTCTTCGAGATAGCAGCTGCGGGGCAGCCATGGTGATGGGCGGATTATAAGATACTGTGCAATCGTGATGTGGGGATCTGATGTGTATGGCGATAAGATGCTAGGGGCGGAGCCTATGCAAATTTAGTTCTGGGAGCTCGTCGGTTGTTGAAAAGTGATGCTTTCCTGATGGCCAAGCATTAAAGGCGAGATATGGGTGGTCGGATTTCGGGATGTTGATGCAAATTATTGAATGTTCGTGTGCACCTTTGCTTCCCGCTTTAAAGTGCTGAGAAAAACCGCGAAAACCTAAAAGAATAAAGCGAAGACCGCGGCCGTCAAGCGGAAAAGAAGTTGAACTAATTACTCCGTCATGTGAGCAATGGCGTTCCGCTGCAGGAACACGAACAATGGGCGAGAAGGAACTCTTCGACAACCCACGCTCTTGGCATACAGGACATTTCGGCAGGTGGGGGCCCACAGCGGGGGTCCGGGAGGTCTCGACTTCCTAGGCCGTGACCGGCGCGTAAATCTCGGCAGAATGTGACTTCACTGTGAAGCAGAGCTCTACTCTTCTCCGAGCCCTGGACATTGACCTTATCCATTCACCTGCACCATCATACCTCACCTCAGCCTGTATCCTGCACTAACTCTTCCTCCTTCAGATACCCTACTTCCTCGATACTTTCTTACCCAAATACAGCGTTTTGAATTATATTCTTCTACACTTTTTTTGTTAATATTAAGCCCAAGCACAGGGAACGCTAGTGATTTTATTCCCAGCCAAGCGCTACTACGGCAGCCCAAACAGTGTGCTCCACCAACCCCTCGGTCAGCCCACAGCGCCCCTCGAACACCCGCACAACTCGACAACACCCATCAATTCCAAACAACCTCGAAAGCCGGACCCCTTTCCACCACCACACCGCTCACCCCATCCTACCCGACCACATCTACCCGCCACCATGTCCACCGTACCAAAACCGGGCCCCGCCAACCTGCGGCCCGGCGCCGGCCTAGACGAGTGGCTCGAGGAAGCCAAGCAATGCCACTACCTGCCCGAGAACGTCATGAAACAACTCTGCGAGATGGTTAAGGAGGTTCTTATGGAGGAGTCCAACATTCAGCCCGTCGTGGCCCCCGTGACAATATGCGGCGACATCCACGGCCAGTTCTACGACCTCCTCGAGCTATTCCGCGTCGCCGGCGGCATGCCCGGCGAATCGCGCGTCCAGGCCCCCGTTGCGAGCACCACGGTCATCACCTCGGACGACATCGAGCCGCCCACGGAGATCACCGACCCGAAGCTGAAGAACAAGGTGCAGAACGCGGGCGGGGCCGAAGCCGAGGCCGGGGCTGAGGGCGAGGAGGGCGGGGCTAGTGGTAGTGGGGATGGTGGTGATCGCAACGACGAGACGATTGCGGAGGAGAGCCCACTGGCTGCACCGCCGCCGGCTGATGCGGGCGTGCAGTCGGTAGAAACCCGGTTTGTGTTTCTCGGGGATTTCGTCGACCGGGGGTATTTCAGTCTCGAAACGTTCACACTCTTGATGTGTTTGAAAGCAAAGTGAGACCTCCACCGCGGGCTAATTTTTCCCCTCTTCTTTTCTCGCCGGCACTAACAGCTACTCTAGATTCCCCGACAGAATCGTTCTAGTCCGTGGAAACCACGAATCCCGCCAAATCACACAAGTCTACGGCTTCTTCGAGGAATGCCAGCAAAAATACGGCAACGCCTCTGTGTGGAAGGCCTGCTGCCAAGTGTTCGATTTTCTGGTTCTCGCCGCCATCGTCGACGGGACGGTCCTGTGCGTGCACGGCGGACTCAGCCCAGAAATCCGCACCATCGATCAAATTCGCGTCGTCGCGCGAGCCCAGGAGATTCCTCACGAGGGCGCCTTCTGCGATCTGGTGTGGAGCGACCCAGAAGACATCGATTCATGGGCTATCAGCCCGCGCGGTGCCGGCTGGTTGTTCGGACACAAGGTCGCTACGGAGTTCAACCACGTCAACGGGCTCAAGACCATCGCTCGCGCCCATCAGCTCGTGAACGAAGGTTACAAGGTGAGCTCCCAGTGTTTGATACTTTTTTGTACTCTCCAAATACTCACACATATTTCCGCAGTATCACTTTGCCGAGAAATCTGTCGTCACTGTCTGGTCAGCGCCAAATTACTGCTACCGCTGTGGAAACGTAGCCTCCATCATGACCGTCACCTCGGCAGATAATCTCGAGTCTAGTACCAAGTTTTCCATATTCTCTGCCGTTCCCGACAACCAACGCCACATCCCGGGCGGCCGCCGCGGGGCCGGCGACTATTTCTTGTAAAGCGGACCGAAAACGGAAGCGCCGGGTTGGAGGGGATTGGGGGGGCAATGGTAATTCCGCCCATGGTTCTGCTATGGGCTCCTGGCGGCTGCTTTGAACCAGTGGACATCGGACTGAGACTGTTCGAAGACCAATTCTAGATCCACCGTTGCGGCACGACACTTTCGCCCTCCGCATGGACAGCTACTGTTTGAATAACCCCCGTTTCGTCCGCCAGCATCAACATAGAGGGCCCATTCACACAAAATGCAGCTAGACAAAGGATTACCAGGAGCGCAAAGCAAACGCCACCCGAGGATATCGGCAGCCAGGCCCGCCAGCATGACGACCACCCCCTATTTCGGCCAAATCCAGTTTACTCGAGGTGTTTCTCGCGTTCTGGGCCATCTTGCTTGGGCTCGCCGAACCGCCGGGATTGTACTCATGAAGAGGCCGTTCCTACAAGCGATACGTTGACCACGTCCACTCGGACGGTGGGGAGGCTGGGGGGCACGGAAGCCAAGATGGGCAGTTATTACGTTCGAGCCGCACCGGGCGGTTGAGTCTGCTTACTGTTGTTTCAACTAGTTGTGCTGTTCATCACCTGAATGGTACTAATACTGTGGGTCAAAAAACTACGCTGAAGAGGTGATACGGCTCCTACAGATGGGAAGCAAGGAAAGCAAGGAACGACAGGAGAGGGCCTGTCATCGCATGGTATAGCAGGCACGGCATGGATCACGGTCGATGATAGGCCAATGCAGATATGAGAGTGTGGGACACACGAACGAGATGAGATGGTAGACGGAACGAGAGTACAACATCCAAATGACCACCAATGAACCTAGAAACGAAGACGCAAGGAAACGAGGCGATACAGAAGACCTTTCCTTTCCTGACGTTGATAGACCGCTGGGACGGACGAACTGGACTGGACTGGCCGGCTGGCATAAGCGTTGTGGATTAGTTGCGGCGGGAGGGGGGGGGCATCTTTGTATATCACTTAATTACCCCTAACGTTGTTTTTTTTTTTTTACTTGCACCACCTACATTATTCTTGCATGGTATTGTACTGTACTGTGTTGAATCATGAAAGAGCGATTATGCTGATTGGTTGATACCCCTTTTATTTGGAATCCGTCCCCTTCTGTGACTATTCCATCTTGCTTCGTGACCTGCCCTGTTATTAAGTCTCCTGGTCTTATCATGGGATGGACGTAAATCTGCTAGACAGACAGACGTTTGCGCCGGGATCTCGACGAGGGGGGGCTATCTGGGCATTACAAGGCACACGCAACAACCCCTCGCGACCAGAGCAGCGCTTGTTCAGAAACCAAGAGCTCAGCACCACCTAGTTCCCGGAAAACATGGCGTCGTCCGCAAGGCCAGTGATAAAACTAACACTAATGTCCCGAGCAAGTTCAATTCCCTCCCGCGTATGAAGCTGAGGGAGGTGTTCAAACACAACCCGGCCCTTCTTGTTGGCAAACTCCTTCGTCACATGCGACTCGGCGAGCGAGGAATACAGACGGAACTCGCAGAAATAAAGACCTGCGTCCTCCTAAAACCATGAGGTGACATGCTACTTCCCCGTTAGAACTGTTTGTACGGTAGGTACATGTACCTGAAGAATAGGTACTCACCGGATGGTCTTCCTTCACCTTGCGCCACCCGGCCTCAACGTCAAGTGACGTCGAAAGGACCTCGGGCAGGCCCAGGGACTTGAGATAGTCTGAGTCGACAAACTTGCCATCATCCCCAGGGAGTTTGTACCCATCCCTGCGCGCGATGGTCTCAAAACGAAATTGATCCGGGTCCCAACCAAGAGCAATCATGCCCAGGTGGAGGATGAAGTCAACATCAACATGTTCTTCTTCCTCGCCTGGCTGAGGAGCCGGCAGGAACCGCGATCGTTTGCCAACCCAAATGTCGTTTGAAACGAACCGCACATCGGTGTACGTGTCCAGAGTATCGCGGTAGTACTTCAGGACTCGGATCGTCTTCTTGCCGGGTCTCTTAATGACGTCGGGGAGAGCGTCTCTCACCAGCTGAGATGTGTTGAAGTCATATTCCATAAACGGCTGAGTAACGGGGTGAGTCATAAAGTGAGGCATAAAGTGAGGCTCAGAAAATGAGGTAATACCCACTAGATTTCCAGTCACGACAACGTTTAGGTAGTCCTCAGAAGGCATCATGAATGGAGACAAGGGAGGCTGAACCAGGCAGCTTATGAGGATGGCCACTGTCGAAGTGGCGTCAATTGCGGTGAGCTGTTTCGTCCAGCCAGAGAGCGAGGTGAGTATGTAACACAACGCGTGCGCCCCTTTTGACCGCGAATCTCAAGGCTGAGCAGATTGATGATCGTAATCACATCTTTAAACACAGAGACTACTTCGTTCATCAACGACCAAGGCGTCGAGGCGGACTTCTAGGCATTCAGGTTAACGACGGAGTTGCATATCTCAGGCCAATAAATCGAGTCCATGTGCGAGCACCTGTATTGGGTATGCACCCGAGTTTCAACCTCATACTGTGTAAAAGGCGGCCTCACAGGTGTCAAACCCTCGAGACGGTGTGATTGTCATGACTATGTGGGACTCGAGAAAGAAAGCCTTTTAGCAGGAGTGGTAAGGATTTATTTGATCTAAGGTCACTTGACATGGACTTGAAGATCAAAACTGATAATCATCTTAGCGGCCGTCCCTCATTGTGCTATGGTTCTTCCAGAGCATGCGCCGGGTGCCAAGCCTCGTGAGAGTATCGAGCTTCGCTTCATCGCATGGAATCCGGAATAGAGTCAGTTGAGACAACAACAAGACAAGAGGGGATTAGTATGTTGATGTTGGAGGCGGATGTTCTGTAGATTGAGGTATCAACTTAGTCTTTTCTACGAAATTAACCCGCCAATCTTTGGAGTGAGAAGCGGTAATTTCTATGGGCCCAATTTCGAAGATGGACACTGTCAACTTGAGCACCTCGAGGACGAGAATGGGCGTAAAGCACAGAAGGGCAAGGAGGTAGCAAAGCCGCCCATGTCCCAGACAGGGGAACAGGCGCAGGATGATTCCTTGGCCATCGAGGAGGAGTCTAAGGAGGACAGTGACCTCGATGATCTTAAAGGAAAGCAGAATATGGTGCTCAACGTTGTTAAGCCCGGAAATCAGGGGCCGGATTCCGTGCATGCGGGGGAGGAGTAAAATTTAAAGTATAATGCGTTTTCTTTTTCTGTGCTCTTTTTCCGTTTTCTTTTTCTGTTTTCTTTTTCTGTTTTCTTTTTCTGTTTTACTTCTCTGTTTTCTATTTCTGCTTTACTTCTCTGTTTTCTTTTTTGTTCTCTTTTTCTGTTTTCTTTTTTGAAGTGAATGTTACAAGACTGAATGAAGTTGGCTGAGCCTAAGAAGGTAGGTAGATACCTAACCACCAAGCATAAGGTAGGAATCAGAAAGCGACCACATCTCGGACACTACACACGGCGAAGACCGCACATACACACGGGGGAGATGGATGCGAGACGATTGTGAGGGGATAGCGTTCAATTTATCTTATCCTAGAACAGTACCTAGGCTAACTACCACACATCACAATTCCCGAGGCTTGCTCACTCCTCCACCTTCCAGCCTCAAGAGTAGCTAGGTACCTATGGTCAGCTAGGCGTCTGAGATCCATGGCAGTCTGTTGTCAAACTCACATAAGGGCAAAGGCATGTCAATGTTGAGCGCTCAAGAGTGAGCGTTGACATGGTTGCCAAAGAGGCGCATGTCGCAGACCTTGCTGACCTGGACGTTGTCCTCGGTAGACTTGTACCTCTCCATGTCACGCCATGGTTCCCTGCGCTTCTGACCATCCTTCGAATCTCCAGACTTCTTAGTCAAAGCGGCCTTAACGGCCTCCGCGAGGGTGTTGGTCTTGGGGTTGATGACGGGCGGCATGGTGATGACCTTGTTGGGGTGGTTGTGCTACGAGTAGTATTGTGTTTAATGAGTTTGGTCAGAATTGTTGTGAGGAAGAGAGAGGGCAGACGATTCTTGGGGTTCAAGGCTAAGATATCTCCAAAAGTAGGAGAGCACTCCTGCGGCCTGGTGGCCCACAATGCTCCAGTGCCGGCCCACAAGAGCCTCACTTGCCCCTTGAAGGTGGTGATATACCCAGGTTTTGTGGGTGTGTATCTTATCCCGTGTTGTTTAACCGCGGAGGTAGCTACCTGACGATATGCACTGGGTCGGTGGTACAGCTCCCTTCGAGTCCCTTGATAGATGGCATTTGCGTACAATTTCCCTGTAGTAAGATCTGCAGTCATACCGGATCGCCGTCGTGTGTTTTGGGTCGAGACCAGCTTCGACCATTCACAACTTCCCGGCATTGCCTTAGACTTAGACCATCCTATTTGGGAGTGCCAAAACCTGGCTGCGACTTTCTTCAACATTCCCCAACTTGGTCTCGGTTAGAAAACCTGGTTCACAGGTTTCCCACCTACCTCTGTTTCAGCAACCGCCACCGAACCGACGGTTCGTCAACATTCGCAGCCACCGAAACAACATGGATATCCCCCTGCTACGGCTACACGACGGCAATCAAATCCCGATGGTAAGCTTGCCCCTACCACTGCTTCACTGAGGTAGCCAGCCGGCTAACGACCCTAAAGCTTGCTTATGGCACTGGTACCGCTTGGTTTAAGGAGGTGGGCGACACCTCGTTCAACCAGGGCCTTGTAGACCTGACCAAAGCAGCCATTGAGAAAGGCTTCTACCATTTGGACTGTGCGGAGATGTACGGAACCGAGGAGGAAGTTGGCGTCGCTATCAAGGAGTCGGGAGTCCCCCGTGAAAAGCTGTTCATAACCAATAAAGTCGCCCAGGGCATTGACGATATTGAGGCGGCAATCGACCAGATCCTCCAGAAGATCCAGACCGATTATTTTGACCTGTAAGTTATGTGGTTCTCTCGGGTCTCGCGTGTCATGTCGGTGGCCTCTAATTAACCCCATACAGATACCTGATTCACATTCCCTTCTTCGCCAAATCCGACGAGGACTTCCAGCGCGCGTGGAAGACCATGGAGAAAATCCGAGAGTCGGGCAAGGCGCGATCGATCGGAGTGAGCAACTACCTGCGCCCGCATATCGAGGCGACGCTCAAGGGAGCAACCAGCCGTCCCGTGATCAACCAAATCGAGTATCACGCCTACCTTCAGCGCGGAAACAGTTACGTTGCCTGGCTACAGGAGCAGGGCATTCAGGTCGGCTCGTTCAAAGGGCTGACCCCAGCTTTCCGTGCTCCTCCTGATGGGCCGCTGCGGGAGCCGCTGGCTCGTATCGCCAAAGCGCATGGTGTAACGGAAGCTGCTGTGCTCATCGCCTGGATCATACGGAACAACGTCGTTGCTGTCACCACCACTACAAAGCTAGACAGGTTGGATGAGTACGCTCAGACGTTGAAAATAACGCTGACGGAGGACGAGGTGAGAGATATTACGAATGTGGGCGCTACATACCACTTCCGCATGGCATGGGGAGAGCATTTCTCTAAAGATGACCGTTCGTAGACTCCAGGTCTTGCATTCGGGTTCCCGAAAAGAAACACAGTACCTAACCAATGGCCTCGCTCGCTCGTCTATATAGCAACTAACCAACCCGTCCGTAACCGACCCCCCTTGCTTTTTGCTCTCTTCTGCCTGGTTCACTCCCCTCTCTTTGCCCCATCATGCCCTCCCGCCTTGGGTAGAGACAGTGTCTAAAATTCGATTGTTCTCTTGATATAAAAAAGGGAAAGAATTCATGAAAATAGAACTAAACAAGAAAAATAAACACTTCCGAAACCGTGAGATAACAGTTGATATAACCAACCCGGTCTTAACATCTCTCTCCCCTCTTAATACTCCTTACTAGCCAACTCAACCTCCACCTCCTTCCTCACCACCTCCCGCACAGCAGTCCACGCATTCTCCACATCCCGCACGCGCTTCTCCCGCTGCTCCAGCCCGACAAACTCTGCCGGGAGCACCTTGGCATCGAACTCAAACCCGGGCTCGTCCTGCAGGGCAAGCGTGACGGCGCCGGCGAACTTGGCGGGATGCGCTGTGGAGAGGGAGATGATGGGGAGGGTGCTTTGGGGTTTATTTTGTTGTTCTTGGTCTTGTGGGGGTTGTGTTTGTTGTTGTGGTTGTTGTGGTTGTTTTTGCTCAGCCTGCAGCCGCGCCGTCGAACGACGCGCAGCCTCAACGCCCACCGCGGTATGCGGATCCAGCACGTACCCAACAGCCTGGTAGACCGAGCGGATGGTATCAATCGTCTGCGGATCGCTGACCCGCTCACTCTCAAACGTCCGACGCGCAGCGTCCAGCACGCCGCGGTAGACAGGGCCAAACCCGCCTTTGGTCTTGAGATCCCCCAGCCAGGCGGCGACTTCCTGGCCGGCCTGCCTCTTGTTCCACTCGTCGTCCATACCCGCGTCAGAAGCGAACTCGTAGGCGAGGAACCAGAGGAGACGCTCAAAGTTGGAGGATACGAGGATGTCCATGGCCGGAGAGAGGGTTTCTTTGACGCCATCTTCGTGGGCCTTGACGCCGTCGGCGGGGAGGCCGCCTTGTGCGGCTTGGCCGTAGGTAGGCTTTTTCTCGTACCGGCCGGTTTTCCAGAACCGGTCGAGGATGTCGTTCTCGTTGGTGGCTATGACGAGCTTATCGACGGGCAGGCCCATGCGGAAGGCGAAGTAGCCGGCCAGGATGTCGCCGAAGTTGCCTGAGGGCACGGCGAAGCGGACCTTGTCGCCGACGGTAAAGGAGTCGCCCTGCTGACGGGCGAGAGTGAAGTAGGAGTAGAAGTAGTACACGGTTTGGGCCAGGATGCGAGCCCAGTTGATGGAGTTGACGGCGCCGAGCTTGTGCGTCTTGTTGATTTCGGGGTCGGCGAAGAGGGCTTTTACGATGTCCTACAAAAGAACCTGTCAGCATGAAATCTTGAGTCACTGATTAACAGCCAACTGAACCAAAACACACCTGGCAGTTATCAAAATTGCCCTCCACAGCCAGGTTGTGGACATTGGGGTCCAGCACAGTGGTCATCTGGAGTTCCTGGATGGGGCTCACGCGGCCCTTGGGGTGCAGCATGAAAACGGAAACATCCTTCTTCCCCCGCAGCCCATAGATAGCCGCCGAGCCGGTATCACCACTCGTCGCACCAACAACCGTGAGATGATACCTGTCCCGTCCAGTCTTGCCCTCGTTCCGGCGCACCAAAAAGTACTCGAACAAATTCCCAAGGAACTGCAAGGCAACATCCTTAAACGCAAACGTCGGCCCGTGGAAGAGCTCGAGCAAGTGGATGTTGTCCTGGAGGTGGACCAGCGGGGTCACGTCGTCGGCGCGGAAGGTGGCATAGCTGCGGCGGATGATGTCCTTGAGGTCGTCGGCGGGGATCTCGGCGGGGGAGATGTAGAGCGACAGGATGTTGAAGGCCAGGTCGACAAAGGAGAGATCCTTCCAGGTTTCCCAGCCCTCGGCGGTAGGGACCTGCTCGGGGATGTAGAGACCGCCGTCGTTGGCGAGGCCCTTGAGGACGACCTCTTCAAAGGAGAACTACAGAGCGGGAGGCCAATTGGGTCAGTTGAAAGTTATATTTTTTTTCCTCATGGGTTTTCCCCCAGCTATGATGTGCAAGGCCTGGCCTAGCCAATGGCCGAGGAAATCGCTAGAGTAAAACGCTAAAACCTACACCGGTGTCCTCGCCCCGGGTGCTAAGATAGCGTTGTGACGCGGTGTGCGTCTCGGCCGAGTCGCCGTTCGTAGGGACGCCGTTCGACATGATGGACAATGGGGGAATGTTGACCGTTGAGTTGGTTAACGGTTGAGTCGACGGTAAGGGGTCAAACCGTCGGTAGCCGCAATCGGTGCAGCCTGCGTAAAAAGCTCAACTGCTCGAGCAGATAGAGCGTACAGTACGATCAGGTCACAAAGAACCCCCGGTAACAAGGTGAGGGTTTAAAGAGCCTTGGGAGAACACGGTGAGGGAAAAAGAAAAGACAAGAGTCACCGAGGAAACGGAGTCGCAAAAGTAGCAGAGGCTGAATGATTCAACGCAGCGGACGGCGCCGATGCTCGGCGAGCGGGGCCGCAAAAAGCTGCTGCATCGATTTGCCCCGCGCTGGGTACTTGCCGGGGTGAAGTGGAGACGAGGGGTCCTCAACCCCGTCGAGGGAAAGCGTTGTTTTATTTTTATTCTTCTCCGAGTCTTTCCCTTCCCCTTTCGATATTCACGCAATTGATGGGTATTCGGACCCCGGTGAGTGCCAAATGCAAGAGGCCGATAATGTCCGGAATAACCCAACGTGTCCCATTCATATTGACGCAGCGGTGTGGAAGATTCAAAGGTGAACAACTCCGGTTAGCCGGAAAACCGAACGTCAAGGAACTCCCTGTGAAGATATCCGGCCATCAACTCTTAGCCGGGCCCCGGATAGAAGAGTACACGTGTAGAGTTGGAGGGCCTCAATAGGAGGGTAGTAATAACATGGCAGCGATCCAGGTACATTTATCATTCCGCGAATATTTTCTCTCCATATCATTATTGAGTTTCCCTATTGTCGTTATATCAACCGGGTCGAAGTGGGCAATCCAAAGTAAAAGGAGACCGATAGATATAGTATTAGAAGGAGGTGAATTGGAGACTTTCAGACCTGTTACATCGCAACTCGACGGCTGGGGATAAATAGGTCGACTAACAAGACAAAAATACAAGACACAACAACCCCTATGGTAAGAGCTGGCCAACCAAAAATCATTTATTGACTTTGATCGCTCGAAACAAGCAAAAACCACTACGAATAATAAATCACAAGAGTATCCTCCGTTTTCGCTTTGCCGCTACCCAAAACAATGCCCCGTTTCAGTGTTCTGCCTCGTTTGTTTATGACGATGTCAAACTAGAGTAAAGCCCCAACGATCAGGACAGGTCAGATCCCAGAATGATATGCCCCAAAACACTAAGACTTGTCAAGCTAGCAAAGCAAGACCACAGGCTGATCACGAAAGGGAAAAAAAGGGCTGAGAAAACCTCAAGCAGCCAAACAAGCCAACAAACGAGAGAATAATTTCGCAACCCTTGGCCCAGTTCCTATGCCAGGAACCGAAAGAGCAATCCACCTCCCAACGCCCGAGCATATTCGACAAACTCGCTCAAGTAGCACCCAAAATATAGCCCACCCCCTTCCCCAAAAAAAGAACCAAGAAAAAGTCAACCCATCCGGATCGTACCTCAAGCCCAGCCTGGGGAGGCCTACGCATATACCGGGTGCCACACCACACCATACCATAGATGTCGCCGCGAAAGACATCATCGTCCCTATAGATCTCCAGTATCCTCCAGCCCAGGTAGTTAGTAGCCAAATGAAACGCAGAAAAAACAATACAACATATTAAACGAACATAACGCAACAAAAAGGTCCCGCTCCCAAGGAAAGAAATGAAATAGAAAGCCGTCAAGATTCCGGGATAAGAGATGGAGAGATGGTAAAAGAGTTAGATGATTTGATGAACGAAACAACCACGAATGGATTCGGCCACAAATGTGCGTTGATCTACGCTCTCATATGCGTAGTCGTTCGTGTTGTATCGTGTTGGATCTCGAAGCCGTCGGTCCGGAGGTGCGTGTTGTCGGTACGCTGTATGGTGTGCGTGGTGATGATGCCTAGGAGCTCCCCCCTTTTGAAGGGCTAGATAGCATGCGCGCCAATACTTGCCACGATCATCGGGCATACGGCTTGTTCATGAGCGCAATCTCGCGCGCAATATCCGCCCACTCTAGCTCCCTTTTGAAGCCCGAGCCTGGCGATTTCCCCTCAGCCTCCCCATCTGTCTCACTGCCCTTGGCCCCCATCAACATCTCCTCCCACTTCAACAACTCATACGCAAATCGCAAATGTGGCTGAATGATCACATTCAACCGGCGCGCACGCACAAAGCAATAGGCACGCGGCAGCGACAACTGTCGTGCCCGCATGACCTCGGCGATGCAGATGGTCGCAGACCGCGAAACACCCACGCGGCAGTGCACTAGCGTCGCGGTGCCGTTACGGCGGCCGCGGTCTAGAGGGTAAGCCATGTTAGGACGGGCCTTCGAGAGTTAGAGGGGGGTAAACGTACCAATAAAAGCCAGACACCGCTCAAACTCCTCCATCAATGAATCAATCCCATTATCCTGGACCCCCTGCACACAACACACATTGTCGGGCCCCCAGGCTTCCAGTTCCCCGTCTCGCCACATGGCTGTCTCGCCCACACTCAAAATCTGCCCGATCCCAAGCGCCCGCAACAGGTCGGGGTTGTTCGCGTGACCCAGGTTGCCGAGGTACATGTACTCGAGCACGCGGCTGGGGAAGGAGCCGTCGAAGCCTGTGAACCAACGGGGTTCATTTTCGTGTTCGTCTTGGCCTTCGGCTTTGAGGTTCGCGGGTAGGGCTCGAGAGGGACCATGCTGGGCTGGGGATTCCTGAAGGAGGCGTGGGGCGAGGGCAGAGAGCAGGCCGACGTCAGAAGGGTAGGCGAAGAGGTTGCGCCCATGAGTGGTGTGCAGGTCAAGCCAGGCCACTGGGGCGGGAAGGCCACTGGCGAAGGCGTGGTAGGCGACCGCGAGGAGGGTGGTTTCTGTGTACCCGTCGCTGCAGTGCAGGAGAATCCGGCGGGGGCGTGAGTGCGGTGAAGTGGTGTCTGCAGTAGTGGCCATTGGGGTATCGCCGTCGGTATCTGGACTTGGAGTGGGATGGGGAGGACGGGTGCCGTGGGCAAGATGGTGCAGCCATTTGCAGGACTCCAGGATGCCGTCCGCTTCGGCATGGGACCAAGTCGGCGCTAGAATGCTGCCGGAGGACGGGAAATCGAGATGGTACTGCTTAGTCTCGTCATCGGGCGCATTAGCGATGGCCTGCAGTGCGGCCTCGTTCAGCCGGCCGTGGTCGCTGCACTCGATCAGGACGTCGTAGGCCTGCTCCTCTTCCGACCCGGAGTCCGGCGTCGGACCGAGCCAGACATTGTGCGAGATCTCCGATGCCTGAGTCATGTCGTACATCTCGCGGCGCTCTTGGTGGAAGAAATCCAGCACGTGGCCCGTGAGGGTGCCCGCTGACCCGACCGCCACGATATCCGGGTGCTTCTCTTCGAACTCGCGGAAGGGGGCTACACAAAAAAAGGTGTTGTAGTGGGGGATGTAGTGCTGCATGAGTTTGTGGCCGTTACGCCACCGCTGCTGGGCGGCTGCGATGTCCCAGCCCAGCTTGCGCACCGTCGCCGCGTCCTCTCCATACACGATAATGTCCGAGGTCATGGCCGACTTGGCCGCCTGGATCTGGAAGTTGCGCACCGAGAAGCCGTCCTTGGGGTCAATATCGAGGAACTCGGGGGCGATCCCACCGCGCTGCAGGAACTCCTCGGGAGCGATGGCACCCTTCAGCCGGGCGACGCTGAGGTCGCCGTCGGCTTTCACCACAGCAATGCCGCGGAGACAGGGCGGGGTCCTTCGCAAGGCGCGTTTCCGGGCCATGAAGAACGACTGCTGGATCGCGTTAGACGGGTGCAGACCGTGGAACCAGGGGAACACCTGAGTGGGATCCGGGAGCGGTTGGCGGGCGATGTGGTCCAGGGCCGCCGCTACTTCGTCGGCAGCCAGTTCGTACAAGCGGAGCGTGTTTCTCTCCTCGTGCGAGTACCTGTCGGCCGGGTACAGTAGCGACCGGGTGAGCTGCTCGTCTTCCTTGCCCGGCGACGGCGGCGGCGTGCTTGGCTCAGCTTGGGGGATGGGCCCCGGGGGGCATACGGGGATGTGCTTATTGGGGATGGGGGCCGGGCATTGTGCCGTGTGGGTATCAAGTGTGATGGTCGAAGTGGTGAGGGAGGACGGGCGATGTGGTGCCACGGGCCGGGAAAGGGCAATTGTCGTCATGGCGACGGTAGCGTAAGGGAAGAGCGGCGTGACGTCGCTGTTCACGGCGTGGGACGGACTAGCATCGATGGGTAAGGGTGACACGCAGCCCAGGCCGAAGCTCTTCAAGAGAGGCCCGTGAACTTTGGGCCAGAGACCGGAGAAGGATGAAGAGTTGGGATAAATATATTCCCAAGGGAGGATCACGCCCTCTCGAAATACACCTTAGGCTATCGGGGCTGATGAGTCGTCGGAATGAGTCGTCTGGGGGACAAAGACAAGGCAATGCCAATGAGTGTACGGCTTGGGTCTGTCTGTTGAAGATATCCCGAGGGAAAAGGGGCCGTCGAATCGAAGCGATGAGCTGAGAAACCTAGCCGGCGATGGAGGAAAGAGGAGAAAGCGTGCTGGTCGCCCCGGAAGCGTTGGAGTTGAGGAGTGAGGGGGAGCCGGGCAGCCTTATCGATGATCCCTGTTTTAAAGGCAAGCAAGGATCGAATTGACTTGGGCCAGTCAGCCCCAGTCCCCAAACCACAGTCGCCGCGCACAGTGCAACACTGCAGCAACTCTGCTTGCCGGGCGGCTGGAGGGTTGATAAGACAGCCGTGGAACAGCAATGGCGTCAGTCAGTACCCGTGTGAAGGACGCGAAAACAATCCCTAGCTTTGGCGATGGCGAGGTATGGGTGGGTGGCCGATATCTTCTTGCGTCTCGCATCTACCAATTCAGAGTAGACGAGATGAGATGCGGAAAACAACAGATTTTTGACGTTCGCAACGGTCGGGAGCTGGGGGGGGGGGAAACACAGCGAAGCCGAGTCGGTTGGAGAACCCGGCCGGTCAAGCAGTGCCAGTTTGATCAATGCGATCGTCGCGAGTGATCGTCGGCTTGAAGGTGGCCATTTTCTTGGGCTAAGGTTCTCGGCCCCGCAGTCTGCGGCTTAGTCGCGATGCTAATCGCTTGCACTTGTTCTTTGAAGGGCCCAGATCCCGGAGGGCTTTTGGGGTCTGCTCCACTCAACGAGGTGACAGAACCACAGCTTCGGATCCATTGATGGTTAACTGCTGATAAGTGGGAAGCGGATGAGAACAAATCCAAGTCGGAAATTTCAATGTCTGTCAATGTCTCAGACACCAATTCCCCCGGCCCTTGGGCCCCAGGGTGAAAACTGAGAATGTGGGCTGCAAAATCACGGATATGCCTCGTCACTTCCCTAGAATCAGAAACAACACCAAAAAGAACAGGATCCAAACACAGCGGCGCCTTCCTTCCCTCCCTCAAGCAAGTCGAGCTTCCAGCCGTGAGCGAGGATGAGCTCACAGTGCCCATTGATTTCGCGCCTGCCACTCACGACACAGATGGTGCCGGGCACCCACACACCATTGGCCAGTCATGCTGTTTCTGGGACAAGGCAGACCCACCTCCCGCGTTGCCCCGCGCCTGCCCCAGCATGGGACAAGCCAATGGCCCACTGTCCCCGCCATACCACCATGCTGGGTGGGCACCTTTTGACGGAGGAAGGGGCCAATGGACAACCGGGGTACTGTACACTCCACTACAGTTGCACTTCACATTGACTTCAGATGCGGGCAATCTATTTTTGCGTACATTGCCGAGCTTCCATACAGTCAGTCCGATGGACGGTTTGGCAAGATCCATTATAAATGCACAACGTTCAAGCATACATTTGCGCCCTGCAATGACCTTTTATCACAAAACAATGGATCTTGGTGGGCTGATCTTCCTATGATATGTGCAAATTCCACGACGTCGGTATTTTCAAAATGCTCCCCCTACTTAGTACTTTATCTCGTAAAATAGCCCTCGGATGGTTCTAATACTTCAAGAGGATCACGTGCCATCTACAGAGCAAATAAATCTTCTCCTTAGTATGTTTCGGCCAGGGGGGCCATTGTCCTGGCCGAGTGACCATTCTCAACTCGAAATATTCTGACATTAAAGACTATTTGAGGAAGGAACAAGGCACTAGTGATCGTTTTGCAAAGCCGAGTCGACCGTAAGACCGTTTAGAAATAAGGTATATTTTCTTTAACGTCGTCGTCGTCGTCGTTATCGTCGAACGAGGCATCCGGGAAGTGGTATCGCAGGGAGCGCCATTCAACGGACGGTGCTACGGGACTAGGGTAATCTTGGCCAGAGATGAGCATGAGCCTGCGGCGGCCGCCGCAGCCGTCACCGCCATCATCGATCTTATCAATCTTGTTCTGGATGTTCCGGACGTGGTGGAAATAGTAGGAGTAATAAATAGTAGTAGTAATCGTTATTTCTGAACTCTGCCTCGGCCACGAGTTGTGAGAAGATGCTCTCCATTCTCTCTTCTGAGAGCAGGGCCATAATGAATGTTTCTTGGTTGTGTAATCGGGCCGGAGGGTGGGACGGATCGTGAAAGGTTCACAAAAAAGGGGGTTGATGTAGAGGTCGAGGGTTAGGGTGTAGGGTGTCGAAGTTCGGGTTACCAGTTGCGTTTCCCCGCCACAAAGTCTCGTGGGACAACCTCAATTTGGGCTGATGTGGCATGGGGGCGAAATTTGTGAATTAATACATGAATATATACGTAGACATGTAAAAGAAACAATGACGATACCACTCTCCTTTGTTACCATTGTACTTTCCTTGACCCTTGTTTTCTTCTTTCTCTTTGGCTTCTCTAAGTAACAAGCTTACCAGAACGTTCTTCAACCTCTCTTTAAGCGGTATCTTTGCCGGAGAAGGGCCCCCGACTAAAGTTTTGCAGCTTGCAACCCGGTTATCGAGGTTCCTATACAGATCCGTTGGCTGGTGCTGTTCAGTATATTCTCGCGCCGCAGCGAATCACCTCGCAACCATCTGGTTGGGGCCGGCATCCTATCGTTTCTTTCCCATAGGGCGAGCGAGACCACGGCCCCAAACGATATATCCAGATCAATCACACTTGCTGCGTCTCACAAACATAAAGCTTAAGGAACCAGTAAAAGCTGATATTACTCTGTATTGCTGTGACTTCGACGGCATGCTGCTGTGGCCCACGGCAGGCCGACAGCACCAGTCGCTTTGTTGTTGTGTTAAACTATTCCCCATTGTGCAAACAGCACAGCACGTAATCCGGAAGCGTATCCGGAAGCCATTGTTGATACGCACCTCCCTCCCTTCTCTTTTAAGTAGCTCTTGGCACACTTCCTACTCGTACCACCCTCTCTCCATACTCACTCAGTCAGTGTCAGCCAGAAATCTTCCATTAGCACCGCCCCGCCCTCTTCCAGAACAAAGGCAACAGAAGCGTAATCACTCGCGCCCCCTCCACCTCGGATATCAACAAACAAAAGACATCCGGCCGTCAACACCATCCAGGAAACACATATAAGGTAAAACAGAACAAAACAATAATCGCTTCCCCAGTCCATCCAACTCCAAAACGCTATGTGTGTCCCTGTCTCTTGGGTAAAGAAAGCAGAAAAAGTCGAAACCCTATGAATCCCCTGCAACCTCCATCCTCAACTCCTAGTAAACTCCAAAGTTTCCAAACCTAAAAATGAAAAATATATAAATGCAGGTTGTGCCATAGGAAGAAATAGGAGAGCAGACTTGGTAATCCTCACCTGTTCGGGTTAGCCGGGCCCCGTTGCGCAAGCGACCTGGAGTATCAAACATGACAACATCCCAGGCTACCCCGTCACCGGTCCCCACCTTCTTCGCCAACCAACCCTAGACAAACGCCTTTCTTCAACGGCCGTGGACTTGGGCAGGAAAACGTGGTGTCCCACACCCAGGTAGCTGGGCGATCCGCCCCGATATCCTCAGGGCTAAGGAATAGCAGCGGTAGTAAGAGCATCAAGGGTGGCGGCAACAACAAACTGCCCACTTCTCAGCCCCAACTCCTCAAGCTCATCGTCACCGCCATCAGCATGAGCATGCACGGCCCAACTCATCTCACTGCCGCTCGGGACAATCAAAATACACCGAGGTCGTGAGCGGGTCCGGTGGCTCTTCCGGCTCTTCCGGCTCTTCCAGCTCGGTGTCTTCTTCGGCGTCCTTAAACGCCTCGGACCGGCCCACGTAAAAATATTCGCTGAACACCAACGAGTCGAAGTCGTCGTCGTCGTCGTCGTCCTCTCCTCCAGGAACGTTGTTGGGGCACCACTAAGAGCCGTAGAACGAAGAATCTATCTTGGTGTCGAGTACACTGTACACGACGGGGGAAAACAGCGATGCGGGTTAGCATAGTTCGATAAGGCGCACCAGGACGCAAGAACAAGAAGGGGTTTAACAGGTTAGAGAGAAAGAAACGAAAAGGGGTCGCGGTTCAAAATAACTTACGTATACTGCCGCACGAGAACCCCTTCGCCGCCGTTATGCAGGTCAATGTTGTAGACAAAGAACCCGCCATTGCTCGTGACCACCATGATGTGCGGCGAATTACTCGACATCGCCACGACACTGCGCAAGGGCCCAGCCGCAGCACCTCCGATGAGTGTCCCACCCGCGCCAGCACCTCCTCCACTACCACCACCAGCAGCGCCGTTCCCACTGTTGCCCGAGGATGTGTTGTTTATTGCCGACTTGGGGATTTTGACGCTCGCAAAGTCACGTTGGGGTTCCCACATCTCAGTCAACGACTGTGGGAGATAAGACCCGACAGCGCCGGCCACGCTGCGGCCGACGAGCTGGGACGAGCGCCGGAGTATGTTGCCAAAGGTGCCGCTTTGACGCCTAGTCGCAGAGGCACCGTTGTTGCTGCTGGGCCCGGACGAGTCGAAAGTGTCGCCGCCGCGAGGCGACGAGCCAGAATTACTGCTGGGGGAGTACTCGCCGCTGTCGATGCTCATGGACCGCGACCAGCGGTTAGTCCGGGGGTTCCCTGTCGCATCTGTCTCAGCCAGCGAACTCCCCGCGGCGTTAGCGTGTTGTGGAGTAACGAGGCGGAAGATGTGGACGGTTTCGGTCGTGGAAGAGACGCAGAGGAGGGTAGAGCTGAGGTTGAACGACATGTGGTAGATCGTCGACGGGATGGTGCCGCGACGGAACTGATACAATTTCTGGCCATCTGGGACAGAAAAGACCCGTACAATCGTGCCGGTCTCGGAGGCGGTGGCCACCCTCGTGCCATCGCTGTTCAGGGCGACACAGCACAACGGCGACCGGTGGGCTTCGATGACATTAACGGCTTTCCCAACTATCGTGTCGTAGATAATAACTTCCCCGGATGTCGGCGGTACGAAGACCGATGGAGGTGGCGCGTGAGCAGGCCGGGCGCCGCCCTGGTCCTCGCGCGGTTTTGGTAGGGGGTAGGCCATATAGGACCGTTCCGACGAGGGCGACAGCGCGAAGATGGCGTTTGGGTTCGGCGATGTCGCGATGGTGTGCAGCAAGCTCATGTTGCCGATGTCGTAGACGTAGATCTCCTGCTCGAGCACCACAGCCATCCGCCTCCTGTTCAGCCGGACGGCGAGCACGGCGGTGGGAAACGTGAGCTCGCAGATCACGGAGCCGCGCTGCGGACAAACAAGTAAACGTTAGCAGAACTGAACAGAAGAAGGAAGCAAGGTTGGTTCCCCCGCTCAAACCTACCTTCGTGTTCTGCACAACCAAATGCCGTGGTGACCGGACCAGGGCAACCAACGAGGTCGAGAACAGCATCTCGACGCTGGTGATATTCCCCTCATCGCTGTTAAAGATCTTGTTGAACGGGTCGGTGTGGAAGATTTGGAAGCCCTTGGTGGTTGCGACCGCCAGGCAGCTGTGGTCCTGGTTGAAGGTAACGAAGTTGAGCTGGCTGCCCGACATGGTTGTGTTGCGGCAATCGGTGCGACCGATGCAACCCGATGCGATTAGATGGCGACTTTAGTGTTGACTTGACGGGGGACGGTACGAGGAGCTGCGGGGTCGGCGTGTGGTGGTACTCCGTTTAGCCTGAGCGAGTGAGAGCCTAGAGCGGTATGAAGCGATAAGATCGGTGGGGGGAGAAGTCGAATAAAAGGTGCTTGTCGATGTCGAGTGTATGGAAGACTGAGGGTGGTGAGAGACCGTTAACAGCCGTGAGCCTTCCCGAAAGCCGAGCCTTGTCGAACACAGAAAGTTGTGGTTGGGTGGAGGAGGAACACAGGGAGCTCTGCCTGCTGTTGAAGGCACAGCCGCACAGAGCTCCGGAGAGCTTGGGCCAGCTGATCGTCACTGTGGGGCTGTGGCACGCGCCATCCCCACTTGACATCCACGGGTCTTGATGGACCGGTCTGTGTGTCTTCAAGCCGTACTTATAAATACACTACATTGGAAAAGTTATTAGAAGGTTTAGATAAGTAGAAACGCAAATAAACAAACAAATACACATACAGACGAAAAGGGCGGCAAACGGGCGAGGATCGACTGCAAGTTCAAGCATGAAATACAAAGAACCCAACTAGAAACCTGACAACAGCGCAACATCCCCTTCGACACATTAGATTCACTCAATGCCTACACACACTCGCGTGTCAAACTTGAAAGACCGCATCCATTACAGCTACGTATGTACGAACATCCAGTCAAGAATATTCCCATACACGATACATGACTAGATACCATGGACACCACCCCAGCTCCAGCGCGGCGCCCCCGACAACCAAAGCCGGGTATGTATGTAAAGTACCTATGTATGTGCCATTTCCTTTTACCCTGTCCACATTACCACCCCGGCAGTCCTTCGCAACCTCACCACCAACTCCTCCAACTCCTCCAACCCACGCTTCACTCACCGACTACTCGTCGTCACCATGATACTCCGAAACGAGTCCGAGATCTCACTAACGGTCGGCTGCCCGTGACCACGCTCCAAAGGCAGCGTTGACACCCCGCGTGCCAACCGTTCCTGCATCATCTTGAGTAAGAGCGGGGGTAGCGCGTCATCGGTTGCGCGGATCGTGAGGCGGATCATCTGTGGCGGGAGGGGTAAGTGTTAGTGCGAATGTTATGAGAGTAGAAGAGGCAGTTCGGGTTTGAGGGCCGGGGTTTAAAATGAAAGAAGTAAAACACACCTGAGTCTGATAGTTCGGCTCCAACCGCAGCAGGCACCCATACTTGCCGCCCTCCGACGTGTGCACAACACTAGCACCGACAAAGTTCTTCCCGTTAGGGTCCACACCATTCAACAGCCCCCACCTAAACCCTTCCACAACCTGCCGGACAAACCCTTCAGTGATCTCCCTCCCATTATCCCGCGCCCGGCTCCCGCCCGCCAGCCCAAAGATCTCCTGCGCCTCCCGCGGCGCGCCGCCGATCTGCTTCCACCGCTTGAAGAAGTCCTCCGCCGATAGCTCAGCCGAGTCCATAAACTTGTGCACCGTCACCGGCAGTTTCAGCGTGAGCGCCTGCAAGGCCCCGGCCAGGTAGCTGATACGGATGGTCGGGCTCTTCTCGAACACCTTCTTCGCCTCGAACATGATGACCTGCTGGGCCTGCGCGCCCTGGGCGATCGTCGTGTCGGGTAGGCCCTTGACATCCCAGGTGAGGTGTGCCTTCTCGGCCGGGTCGAGGTCGAGCGTGGTGGTGAAGGAGGAGATGAGCGCGGGCGTTTTGTTGGTGAAGTAGAGGATCAAACACGCCATTTGGCCGCGGTACTCGGACCGCACGCCCACCTGCAGCTGGCCGTCCTCGTAAAGCACGCCGTCGGCTCGGAGCAGCAACCGGTTGAAGCCGCGCTCCCAGTTGGGCGAAAGATGAGCTGCGCTGGCAAGGTTAGGCGGCTTGATCGCCTTAGCTTCGGCAGGGCCGAGGTTGTTCATGTCGAGGCCCATGAGGTCGTTGGCCGCCGAGCCGCTGCCGTTAGCCCCCGAGGTGGCAGAACCGCCGTTGACTGCCCCGTTGTTGTTCACGGTAAACGTCCGCTTGAGCCCCCCCTGTTTTGCCATGATAAGCTCGGTCGCATCGGCATTAGCGTCCTTGCCACCCACCACCCACGTCCGCTTGTCACTCGTTCCCCCGTGCTTTTGATGCAGACGAGAAAGCAGTGCCGACTCACGCTCCGGGAACGGCGGCATCTCGTCGCAGACAGTGCGCAGCAGGTCGTCCGTGGGCAGGCTTGCCAGCGTGAGATACTCACACGCTCGCTGTTGGAGTTCTGGGTCGAGTGTGTGGCTGTAGACGCTGAAGACATGGACGAGCTGCGGCTTGATCTCCGGGAACAGGTTCACGTATTTGACAAAGCAGGACAGAATCATGGCACGTGTGGTTGGTCCGCACGCCGGTAGCTTGTTCTGCAGCGCCAGGAACTGCTCGATCGGGCTGCAGCCCCTCTCCTCGGCAATCAAATGGCCGAACTCGCCGAGAATGTAGGCGCCGATCTTAACCAGTGTCTCGTGGCAGTGGTCCTGCTTGCAATACTGGAGGATGTTCTGGGCCGCATAAACCTGAAGCTCCTCGTTGTTGGAGATGATCTGGATCACTCGTTGCCACACCTCGTCGCTGACGTGATCACCCGCCATCGCGATCAGGCGGAGGGAAATGTCGACATACCACTGCACGTCGGTGGCGTATTTTTCAGTCAGAATGGCAATCTTCAGCACCATCTCTTCCCGAATCGCGAAATCTGCGTTTTGTAAGTAGTGCAGCAGCTCCCCGACGACGACCCTGGCGTTCGACGAATCGCACATGCTGTACAGCAGGTCCAGGCCTTTCCGCCGGACGCTGATGTCCCTGTCCTTAAGTGAGCCGATGATGACCTCCTGGTGCTGCTTGATCGGATCAAGCGTTTCGGCCCGCGCAGCCAAGTGGGTCATGGCCTCGAGACCCAAGTAGCGCACATTAGTTTCCCGTGACTGGATGAACTTGCCGAGCCTCGACGAGATCTGCTTCATCAGGTTGTGTTCCGTATCGAGGTGGATGATGAGGTTAATAGCCTCGAACAGCACCGCGTTTTGTGCATTGTTTTGCTGCACATTCTTGTTCGTCTCTAGCGCAAGGTCCAAGGTCTTTTGGAGGGATTCCCGGATCATCCCACGGACATGGCTGTCCTCTGCATACCGTTAGATATCTCGATGTGGCCTGAACCGGGTAATAAATCCGGAAAGAGACTCGGCGGGAACGCACCTGAAGGTGGGAAATATTGCAGCAGCCTCATCAGCTTCACCTGGATCCAGGGGCAGGGAACCTTGTAGTACAGATAGTCCGGCGCATACTCGCCATCAATGATGACGCGCTTCAGTCGGCCGGCAGCCTTGGCGTATGCCCCCTTGTATTGGTCCGGATTGTCCTGTGCCAAAGCCATGACCAGTGATGTCACCGACAACCCGACGCCGAGGTCGACGTCGTCCATTAAGTGTATTATTCTTTCCGCCCATTGCGGCTGGACGATGCCCGAGTGTTTCCTGTACAGGCGAAGCATAGTAAGTGCCGCCTTCTTCTTCACAAACGCCTTGGAGGTCCTGTCCTCTAGTTAGCAACTCCCGCGCGAAAACCCGTACTAATGACCCGGTGCCACACTCACGGTGAGATTAGTAGCCTGTGGACCTCTGAGCTCAAAGCCTCACCCATCTCCCGCCCTCCCACGTTGGCAATGGCATGGAGCGCGAGACAGTTGAATAGCTCGTTGTGGTCCAAGAGATCTTTTCGGATACTGTTGACTACCAAATGCAGAAGCTCGTGTTTCTCGTGCAGAAACAGCGTCATGGCGAGGTAGCCAATCTGTTTCTCCGAGTACTTAGTGGCCGAGATGAGGTTAACGGCCTCGAGGTGTCCGAAGTCGACATTCCATCCTAGGATGTAAATGTATAATAGCTATCGCAGGGTCAGATCATGTTCCCTCACCCCAGAGTCGTGGTCCACACCAACCTTGCACACATATTTCTTCTTGTGATATCCGCTCAAGTTTCCGTCTGTTCAGCTGTCAGCATGCTCCGTTTCCTGTTCCCCTATTGTAGATGGGCATGCCGTGGTCACAAGGTGAGTCGAACCTTTGAATTTTTGCCTATGCGCACTGAATCAGCACCATGTTCAAACCAATGCCCGAAGAGAACCCAATAAACTCACCGGATATTCGCAAGCTCCTTGTTGATGCGCTTTTCCTCTAGTTCTCGGGCGCGAGCATTTCTTAGATCGGCAATAAACTGGACCAGGCCTCGCATGTTCGCATTGCTGCTGCTGGACCGGCCCAGGAAGCTGGTAGGCCCCCCAGACGACATTTTGAAGGCTAGCCTGCTCAGGCTCGTCTCACCGATTGTGCGATCGCGTGGTCAAGGTTCCCCTTTCCCAGATTTATTCCAACCCAACCTAATCCTCCTCCTCCGTCGTTGTGGTCGGTTTTAGTCAATCTCGCAAATTCGGCCAGACGACGGGATACCAAGCTCTCAAAAATCGTTCATCATCATCGTCGGGAAGGTCGGAGCATCGGGTTTGTCGATTTGAGGTGCGGCGAAGCCGAGAAAGAGAAGGACCGTCCGATCGGGAGCACCGGGCCGTGTTCTTTCGTCTCCAGTGGCGCGTTGCGAGAATCACCGAGTCGGGGGAATGTCCGCTGCCGCCGGCATTTCCTTCTCGATATGTGGGCCGTGGTCGACAACGCGTTGCGCGTTCGTGAGAGACAAGGCGGCAAAATCGCGAGTCGAAAAGTTGCACGCAGCAAAGCCCGCCGTGACAAACCCGTGGCGACGACGATGCGGTTCAGGGGGTCTTGCTGGTGTGGAACGGACCGCCCGAGGGTCCAGTCTGTCCACAAAATATGGAGTGAGCATTGGGCTGTCGCATTCGCTGCCGCATCCCGAACCGAGCTGGAAGCGACCCCCGCATGGGCCGTGCAAGGTGCTGCAGAGTTCAATCAGAGAGGTTTTAGCGTGTTTTTGGTTTAGCCCGTCGCCCAAAGAGGCAAGGTTTGCTGCTGCTCACCCCCAAGAGCTTCCCCACATCTTCCCTCTGCTGTGGCTTGTCCCTCGTTAGTTACAATTTGTGGCTTCGTGACATCACGGGAATTTTTAACACCTCCCTCTCCTCGAGCAGATATGCCAGGCCACTGCCTGCGAACGACTCGAGAATGCGGCTGAACCTGCCCCGAGCCTGTCGGCCGCAGAGTCTACAAACAATCACAGGATCGCCTTGCGCGCGACGAAGCTACGCCTTCCAAGCTCCAGGAGGGGCCGTTTTCAAAGTCTTCAACAGCCGAACAAAATGGCACCAGAAGGAGCGGGCAGCAGCCAATCCCGAGCTGGGCCGGCAGGCCGATTATCTCAAAGATGAAGTAGCTATGCGCGTGTGCGAGCGGTTATTAGTACGCCCCCTAGTCTCTCAATTGAAGCCCTCATCGGCCCCTAACCAAAGTACCCCTCTTCTAACATCTCCCTCTCTTCGTTCCCAGGATATCAAACGCCAGTTCCCCCACGTACTCGACCTCGGCGCCAACTCCTGCAACATCGCCCGGGCCCTCACCCGCGAGAACCCCGACCCCGACCCGGCCACGCCCACCTCACCCCCCTTGTCAAACAAGATCGGGGAGCTCATCGCAGCGGACTCGTCCGCGGGGCTTCTCTTCCGCGACGCCGAACTCCCCTTCAACACCCAGCTCAAGCTGACCCGCCAAGTCCTCCCCGACGAAGAATCTCTCCCTTTCGCCCCCAACACCTTCGACATGGTTCTCAGTAGTCTCTCGCTGCACTGGATCAACGACCTGCCAGGCGTGCTCGCGCAAATCAACAGCATTCTCAAGCCCGACAGCCCCTTTATCGGCGCCATGCTAGGCGGTGATACCCTATTCGAGCTGCGCACGTCGCTGCAGCTGGCAGAGCAGGAACGGCGCGGTGGTATTGGGCCGCACGTGTCGCCGTTGGCGGATGTGCGGGATGTTGGTGGCCTGCTGGGGAAAGCTGGTTTCCAGATGCTGACGGTCGATGTGGAGGATATTGTGGTGGACTACCCGGACACGTTTGCGCTGATGCAGGACCTGCAGGCGATGGGAGAGGGGAACGCGGTGCTGGGACGGGAGATGGGGGCCATTGGAAGGGATGTGTTGCTGGCGAATGAGGGGATTTACCGGGCGTTGCATGGGAACGAGGACGGCAGTCTGCCTGCGACGTTTCGAATTATCCACATGATTGGGTGGAAGGAGGGCGCAGACCAGCCGAAGCCGTTGAAGAGGGGCAGCGGGGGTGTGAATCTGAAGGATATCCTAGAGCAGAAGTAGGGTGGCCCCGTGATAAAAGACAAACCTCCTCAGCGCAGCCAGGGGCAGGACGCCGCGAATTGGCTACCCGCTGCGTCTGATATGACGAGAAATCAAGTACCAACATCATGATACCAAACCATTTAGACGGAAGTCGCAGTCAAATAGCTTCGCTCGCAGATAGCGGACGCCATATCATGTCTATGAGCGCCTATGAACGGCGTGAACTCTGTCCCCGACGCCAAACGGAACATCACCCTCGAAGCCTATGATTTTCCTCTCCTGCCCCGAAACGCCATGATCATCCCCCCTTCATCCTCTCCATCATCCTTTTCTTCCCTCTCCTTTCTACACCCTCCTCCAGTCAGTCATGACCCGACCAATGCACCCAAGCCCCGCGACCTCCACCACCTTCTCGTGCCAGCTGAGCAGTACACTCATCGCGGCACCCGTCGACTCGGTGGCAGCGCCCGGGCGGGGGCCGATCTGGCTGAAGCCGGTTGGCTGCGGGGTCATGCGTGTGGGCGTGCGTGGGCCGCTACCGCCGGCCGAGGCGGATGTTGCGGCCATACCTTTGTATCTGGAGCACAGAAAAGGCGTGTGTTAGTCTCAGTCACTTTGTCCCGATCTCTCAGGGCTAAATCACAACAGTAACAAGAATCATGAAGAAAGGCGAGAGACTCACAGATACTTCATCAACACATCCAAGCACTCACTCCCACCCGGACTCCCATAAATCCGCTGCAACATCGGCGTCATCTCGCTCGCCTTAATACTCTGCAACACCTCGACCACAGTCTGCAGCGCCGCCTCCCGGGCCAACTCATTCCCACTCCCATTCTCCGCTGCCGCCGCCACAGCCGCGGGCGTCCCCGTGTTCGTCGCGTACACCGGCGTCTCGAGACACCCACGCAGGGCACCCTCAGCGTCGCCGCCGCGCAGCAGCTGGCGCACCTGTGCGGTTAGCTGGCGGACGTCGGCTTCGGATATGTCGGGTAGCGCGGTGTGCAGGGTCGCGGTGTCGAAGTTGGCGGGCGAGTCCGGGTCGAGCGCGTCGATGTCGATCGTGCGCCAGGCGTCGGACAGCGTGGCTTGGGTGTGCTCGCGGATGATGGACATAGTGGCGGTTTGTGGTTTCTCCTGCTTCTATTTTATGGGAAGGTTTTCTTATGAGTGGTTAGGTGAGTTTATGGAGGCCGTTTGCGGCTTCGAGGATCGGGGTTCAAGCGTTGAGCGAGGGTCGGGATGGAATGGCGGGGTTTGGGGATCGTTGTTGGGCTTGCACCTCGGGATTGGGTTACCCTCAATTGTCGTCAAAAAACAAACTCGTCGTTCGCAGTCTTGGAAGCAGAGTCGGCTTTTCGGCGGTGCGTTGCGTCCCGCCTGATGGCTTGTTGTCGTGTGTCGGTGGAGGTTGGGTTCTTGATTTGGGGAGCGCAAGGAAACAATGCGAGGTTGACGTTGCTCCAAGGCAAGCAGCTGGCTCAGCCCCGCATTGCGCTGGAGCTCCCTGTGGGGGCTGCTCGGCCCCACTTCCGGACCGGCTGCCGTGAAGTACGGAAGCCCGCTCCGGTGTCTCGGTCTTTGGGCTCCGGGTCGGGTACTTCAGAATATGAGGGCGGGATTTGGCCTGAATCGTGGTAAGAGCACATGGGATTAGACTGGTGACTTCCAACTCTTGAATACCGTCTCGCCCCCTAGAATATTCTATTCCCGAACTCGACTTACACACCTCGGTGTCCCAGTCACACTCGAAAGGGGATTCCAGCCTACATTTTAAAGCGATTCTTTTCCATCTTCACTTCCATAAAAGTCACTGCCTAACATCGTGATTTCCCGTGCATTACGCATATGCAGAATAGTCGGTATCATGTCGTTGGGGACATAGGTTAGGCTGCGTCATGACTCCTAGTCAGTTCGGCGATTCAAACACATCCGTGTTTGACAACGTCTATATACTTAGGGGTCACCACACAAGTTGACCAGTTCTGACCAGAAACTACCTGTGTTTTCAGTCTCTCCGGTTTCAAACTCCTCTATCGCACTGACTTCATAACCTTCGTTGCTGATTCGCCTAGGGGTCTATCAGCTTCCCGAGCGGACGAAAGGAACCTGTTGTCATCCTTCATGATATCGATGTACTAAACTGCCTTGTCTACTAGTAAGAGATAACTGCCGTACCCAAACCGTCCGCCAAACCCTCACCCATCGTCGCTCAGCACCGAGTCTTCTCTCATAACGTTACCAGTAGAGACCCATCAGATGATCGCTCAGGCATCGATGCCGGGAATGTCAAAACGGAGCCAAGTTGTTGAACTCTAGCTGAAGATCAGTGACTTCTGAGCAAAGTCATACCAGGGTTTTGACAAATCTCTGGTACACAACCCGGCACTAAACATGAAGAAGCCGTCGAGGAACCCGCACGAACGGGTCTCAGGGCGCCTCGCCCCACAACGCCAGTCGATAACTAACTTGACAACAACAAAAATCGGCGATCACACCTCCCTTTCCCTTCCCCTGGGTTCTGGTACCGTATCCGGGGAAAGAAAGCGAGAAACACGACTCAAGGCAGAACGAAGTCGATGGAAAACTCTGTCCAAGGTCTTCATCACGACCCGGTCCCTGTCTAGTCGCCGAGACTTCCCTTCCCACTACCCCCGGAGCTAAACCCCTTCAAAAATCGGATCGGTCGCATCCATTCCCACGGGTCCTTCGCGCTGGTAATCCTCTTGGTTTTCGGTGCCGCTAGCCTCGCTTTCAGTTAGGAAACGGCACTTCGTGAGTGAGCAACGACAAGTTGCAGATCTCGATGTGTTAACCTCAGCTAGCGCGACCCAAACCAGGCGGATTTCGCCGTGTGGCGATTTCCCACTCAGGACTGTTGAGAAAGATGGCTGTGTGGCTGCTTCAGATCATTGACTAACGGTTCAGGAGTTAGCGTTTCCCCGTCTTATTCCGATTTCCGTTTTAGACCGCCTCACCTATTCGTTGAATGTCTGAGAGACCGAGAGCCTGACTTGATTGATTGCAGCCCAAAACGGAATTCGGTGCAGGGCGACTAGGCGGGGGACGGTCTAGTGGGGGAACAAAGGAACAAGAGAAGAGAGCGAGAAAAAAGCCACCCGGTGTCAGCATCAAGCCAGCGCCGACCGCCACTACCGTCATGACAAGTTCATGCAAGCGTTCCCCAGCTTATTCACGCCCGTCCACCCGCGCGGTCAGGTCCGAAAGGCGCAGCCATCAGGGTTCATGCGTGGGGGTTTTGCCAGTCTGAAGGGTCATTGGGAGCCTTTCCATCGCACTCACGTGCATGCCTACCTGTGTTGTAGAAGGCTTCACCGAGAGAGATGCGCAAAATCCCGCAGTCCGGATTCGACCGTCAGAAAAGCATACAAGCACCGCGGAGAAAGGCAGTCATGAGTGAACTAATGTAGTTTCCCATCTTCCACTAGGCGGTTGCCCCCCTTCAAAAAAGCTGGCCCCTCCATTTCCCATCACACAGACCCTGATCTTCCTTCACCGAAAACACAAGTCGCACCGACCGCGCCGTGTTAGTTCACGCTAATGGTACTAACGCTGGTAGTGAATCCGTGCAAGCTGAACCGGCGAGCCTAGCCTTGCTGTTTTCACGGGTCGCCCTACCGTAATAACGGAGTCTAACGGAACTCGGTTAGGGCCACCAGTACGGATAACACGGCCTTCTTGTTGTGAAATTGTGGTTATGTTGCAAGTACACCAAACGTTGCTACCCACCTTCCGAGTGTAAAGCAGCATACACGACGGTAACTGTCTATCGGTGCGTATTGTTTAGGAATATGGCATGGCCCAAGATACTTCCATCGGGGCTGAACTCAAAACTGCATGTGTTGTTGCTGTTGTTGTTGGTGGAGACCCTAACTGGAATCCGCCGGACCCCATAATCACTGCAGGGCGACTCCATGAAAGATAGCGGGATCGGGCGAGCCCGGCGGCGGCATTCCCTCGTGGCATCTCGAACGTTAACTAAATTCCGATTGTCGATTCCGCTCAGACCTCGTGGCCGGCGCAGAGGTGAGCTCGCCACAAAACCCACCTCACTTGACTTGATCTCTCATTAGCTTCTCTCCTTGTTCACCACCGAATCCACTTCTTCATCTTCATCGGGCACTCGTCGGTTTCACCCAGACCGGTCTGCCGCATATCCCAACGAACTACCAATATAACACACAAACTGCACTAGTTAACCGATCCCGTTCCCCCGGGTTTTGTGTTAGGGAGCCAGAGGTCACAAACCCTGTGTCGCTCAATCACTGTTCCTCGCCTGTGAATCCACCCTTGAACCCACCCAGATCGAGTTGGCCCGCGGGGTATGCACGAGCCATGAGGAGAGCGTTCTTGAAAACGGGTGCATAAATATCGTCATCTAACTACCGCCGTTAACTAACTCGCATAGGAAACAGATAGGAAAAGGGGGAAGTTGGGCAGAAGCGCCAGATCTGTCCCTCGGGACATCGTGTACTCTAAGTGTACACCACACTTGACCGCCAAGTGCACACGTCGTCCCACATAAGTAGTGTAGATGGGAGACATCGAAGGCTGGACCCGCCCCTGCGGTTGATCCATTGACGAGTTTCGGTGGGCGGTCTCTGATTCTGTGGGTTCATTCCCTCCGAGAAAAAACGTGGGAGGTGCGGGAGCGGTGGGGACAGACGTTACGAGAAGGCGTGGAGTGGAAGATTGGGATGTGTTAAAACATTGGTGATGGTTGTGGGGGTGTTGTCGCGCCGCAGTCCGTATCGAAACTTAGACATTGGTGGGCACGTGGAACGGAGGATCCCGCTGTTACGTTTTGATTTCCTGTGATGTTGTAGGCGGTGGGTTATACGTAGGTTATTCGTAAACTACAGCTGTACATCTCCTTCGTGTTGCCAACAGAAAATCATCACCAGGTCAGGTATTTCCTTGTTTCCCTTCTCGACCTGTTAGTTAAAACCTGCGTTATTGTCTTTCTTTTTGCTTGCCACAATGGGTTGTTTTCCCTCATTGCCAAGGGGCGAAAGAAGAAACCCTTGCAGGCGGACAAAAAGGACGTGTCTCATCTCCGAACCGAGTTTTGTAGAAAAAACGAAAATCGGATGGGTCTGAGCCAGATCTCTGGGACAAGAAAGCACCAGGCCATGCAACTGACCAAAAGCGGGAAAACGGAGCAGCGTTTGGTTCCTGCGTCTGACCCCTTGCTTCCCCTGAACCGTGCGAACCGAACGGGGATTCGGATCTAAAAGAGGAAACTCGATGGAAGAAAGTGGGGTTTCTAGAACGAAATCTAAGCGGACCATGGGAAATGCAGGATTTGTCCTGCCTGGAGGCTGGTCCCGCGTGCTCACTCGCTCAAAGAAACACCAACGCCAAATCAAATCCAAATCCCGAGGAGAAGCTGATGGCGCAGCCACCATCACGCCGTGACCAAATCCCAAATCACACACACCCCTTCCTTGGGGGGCGAGCGGGTAGAGCATGGGGGTGCAAAATTCGCAAAGATACATCTATCGTACGAACCGCTTGGGGATGGGTGGACGGAGACAACATGGGGGTCGCCCTGACGGCCTCAACAAGCGAGGGCCTGTTCGACCTGCGACCATCTGCAACCGACCTGTTCGTTGCCATCCCACCGGGAGCGCTCCGCGGCCTGGGCGCTGGGGTAGAGTTAAAGTGGGTCTTTTCACAGTGCTGATCGGTCAGAAGTGTGCCAAATGTGCGGCCGAGTGATCGCTGAGGCAGAAGATCAGTGCGCTAGCGTAGCGTAAAAAAGCGGCAGGAAGAAGAAGCGCAATTGTCTAAAATGACGAGTGGTTCTTCTCCCGTTCCCGTGGGCTCGAAAGTAAAGCTAGAAGCGAGAGTTTCTCGTTTACACCCTGTCCGTGAATTATTACAACAATTATCATGGAGGTCTCTCATCACTCAGGCAGGGACCATTACCATGCTGAAACGGAGGAGTGAAAGGTGTTCCTTGCACTCCACTCAACCGACTCGGTATCCACCCACACACACCCCACGCTGTCACGGCTGTTTCGAAACGGGAGATGGGATGAACGGGGACGCCATGTGGTGAGATGCTCGGTAAGAAAACGTGGAATCGTCCT